AATTCAGGTGAAAAGCTAGCTCATTGGGATCTTGATATTTAGAGCCCATTCAGTATATTCTAAGAGGGGGATTAGGATTGTTGAAGTGTATGCTTCATGGCATCTCCCAGGCCTGTGCACAACTGCCACCAGCCTGATATTTCTTTTTTTGGAGTTGGGAGTACTGGGAATAGAACTCATGACCTCGCACTTGCCAGGCAGGCGCTATGCCACTGAGGTGTATCCCTGGCCCCAGCCTGCTATTTCATGTCTGCCTGCTGAGCTTTTCATGGAACCCCTTCCTATTACAAGGTTCTTGGAGTCCACAAGAATGTTTTTTATTTTATTTATTTATTTGTCTTTTTGAGACAGGGTCTCGCTATGCAGTTCAGGCTGGCCTTAAATTCTACTGTGTAGTTCAGGTTCGCCTTAAACTTGCAGTGATCCTTCTGCCTCAGTCTCCCAAGTGCTGGTGTGCTGGCATTACAGACATACACCACCACGACACAGCTCTTAATTAAGCCACCAACATAGTTGTCCTTCAGTTTCCCTATTGCAGTTAATGAATCATCCCAGTGCTCATACCAGAATCTTGTTCCCTACCTCTCTCACCCAGCCCATTACCAAGTCCTGTCAGATTTGCCCTTGTCTCTGCAGCTCCTGTGCCTGTCAACTGGACAGTGATAATAGCGTCCTCACTAGTGAGCTTGGTGTCACTTTTGTGCCTTAATCTCCAAAGGCAGGTGTAGTGCTCTTCTCAGTAATACCACTACCGCTTTGGCTTCCCCCCGACTCAGAATCCAGTTCAGACAAGTTACTTGGTCCACAGAACCTCTTGCATAATCTGCACTTTGCTCAGTGTCCTCATCTGTAAATGGGACGAGTAACAGCACGTCTCCCATAGGCTCATGGTAAGAAATCACTAGGTTGGTATAGGTGCAGCACTTCGTGCCGGGCACACAGCAAGAGCTCAGTAAAGACCTCCACATGCCTGCTGCAGTCCAGCTTTACCACCACTCCGTCCAAGCATGCTTACTGTTCCCTCTACTTACAAGGTTCCCTTCCACGGATCTTGGCAGTCCTGTTTGCTTTGATCATTCAGGTTCACAGTTCAGTGTCTTCTAGTGCAGGCTTTCCCTGACTGCTCCTTGTTATATTCTTTGTAGTTCTTATATTTCTGTCTACCTTGAGCTTCTCACAGTGAACTGCTCAGCCACAGGGACCTCAGACAGACAGCCTTAGAAGTACTTTTGAATGAAAACTCCTCAACCTCTAAATCTAAATAGGGTTTTTTTCTGCTTTGATCCTGTGGATCCAGTCCTCCTTAGAGAAAGCAGACTAATCATTACTGCAGATTGCCTACAGACACCTACTTTCACTTCATTATTTCACCATAATTGTTCTCTGGGCTTTTGTTCAGGGATTTCCCTGCCCCTTGCTGGTATCTTACTAACACTGTAGGATGTCAGTCAGTTCTGTTTCCTCAGTCTGTTGCCTTTTACTTAACCCTTCTAGTTCATTTACCAACTTTAATCAGACCCTTGAACCTGGTATAGGGGTGCAACCTGTAATCTTAGCACTCTGGAAGGCTGAAGCAGGAAGATTACAAGTTAGAGCCCAGCCTAGGCAATTGACCAAGAACCTGTCTGAAACTAAAAAGGACAGGAAATATGTAGCTCAGTATGCAGGTCTTGGGTTCAATCTGCAAAACAAAAAAGTTCAGTCCCTTCCTTACATGTCCTCTCTAGTTGGAACAATCAAAATACATCAAATCTATTACAGTGTGGGGATGTAAGTCAGTGGTGGAGTGCTTTCCTGGCATGCTCAAGGCCCTGGGTTCAATCCCCAGTACTGCCAGAAAGAAAAACAAACAAAGCACAGTGTTAGAGAAATAAATGTGTGAAGAAAGTACAAGAGTGGAGTGGGGATATATAAGTCAGTGGCACAGGGCCTGCCTGGCTAGCACAAGGTCGTGAGTTCAATTCCCAGTACAGAAAAAAAGTATAAGGGAAGTTTGTTGTAAACATCTCGGTTTCTGGTGTTAGTTTTTTTGCAACTGTTTGAATCAAAAACACTTTCTGCTTCAAAATTGAAAGTATTTAAAACAGTGTGGTACTGGCATACAACAAATAGCCCAGGGGAATAGAACAGAGAGCCCAGAAATAAATCTTCACATACATGGTTAGTTTTTATTTTCAGTGCTGAGAATTTAACCCAGCGCCTTCACACTGAGCTATGCCCATCCCTATTTTTGTTTTGTTTTGTTTTGTTTTAAGACAGAGTCTCCATAAGTTCCTAAGTCACCCAGGCTGCATTCAAACTTGCCGTCCTCCTGCAGGAGGATGTAGTGTATGCCATTACCCCTGCTGTAAATGATATGCTTTGTTGGTTGGTTTGAGACAGGGTCTCCTGGTGAAGCTCAGGCTGGTCTTGAACTTGGACAGTCCTCCTTCCTCAGCCTCCCCAGTGCTGAGATTATAAGCATGCGCGCCCAGCTAAATGGTTTTTGAGGGAAAGACACAAGTGGTGTTGAGAAAGCCAAATACCCACATGCGAAGAATGAAGTTGGTCTGGGGATAATAGCGCATTGGGAGCATGCTCGGCAGGCTCGGCAGGCTCAAGGGTCTGGACTCCATCCATGTGCTGTGCTCTCGCCTCCAGCCAAAGAAGGAAGTTGGACTTTGACCTTGCACTGTTTACAAAAATCAATTGAAAATTAATCAAAAGACCTAAATGAAAGAACTAAAATTATATAAATTCTTGAAAGGAAATGGGAAAAGTTTCATGTCACTGAATTTGTAGCTATGATGCCGAAAGCTCAGAAAGCAAAAGAAAAATAAGTAGGTTTGGCTACGTCATAATTAGTAAAAGTTTCTATGCATTGAAGGACACCCAGCGGTAAAAAAGCAAATCATATATATAAAGAATTATTATCTAGAATATGTAAAGAACCTTACAGTACAACAGAACAGCCTAATTTCAGAGTAGTTAAATGACTTAAATAATTGGTTCTCCAAAGAAGATACGTTTTCCTGAGAAACTATCTTGTAGATAACAATATGTAAAACAATAACCATTGATAATTTCCTACCACTTCGTCTGTAATTTGGTAAGCACCCCCTATTATGATGTTATCCTTCTTTTACTCTTTAAAATAAAAAAAAAAAAGAAGATATATAAATGGCCAAGAGGCACATGAAAGGATTCTCAATGACTGATCTTTGGGGAAGTGCAAATCAGTACACACTGAGGTACCAGTTCCCATTTCACATGTATTAGTAATTGACTTTTAAAAATGAAAATAGCAAAAAATAGTGGTGACAAAGATGTGGAGAAGTTAGAGCATTTGTATGCTGATGGTAGGAATTTAAAATGATGTAACTGCTATACAAAACAATAGTTCCTCAAAAAAATCAAAAAACTGAAGTGATCCAGCAATTCTCCTTCTGCATGTATACCAAAAAGTGTTGAAAGCAGTGACCCTAACAGGAATTTGTATGCTTATATTTATAAGGGCAGAGTCCACAATAGCTAAAAGGTGAAATCAAGCCAGTGTCCCTCGGTGGATGTGTAAATATGTCAATATATATGCCATGAGAAAGGAACTTTGTATGCCAACAACCTGGGTGAACTTCGAGGTATGTTGCTAAGTGAAATTGTAAGACACAAATGACAAATGTTCAGTTCCTAGAGTGCCCCCAGAGGCATGGAGTAGGAAGGTGGCTACCAGGCCTGGGATGTGGACATGACAGGTACTGCCAAATGAGGAGAGTTTCAGTTTTGGAAGACGAAAGAGTTTTGGAGATGGATGGTGGTGATCACTGTGTGACTGGGTGAACCAGTACTTACTGCCACTGAACTGTATTCTAGAAGTGGTTAAAGTGGAGGCTATTGTGCCTCTTCACAGTAGCTCACCCTACTCTGTAAGGTATTTTTTTCTCTAATTTACTTGGCCCAGACTTGATCTCCCGAACTGTTTTTTGCTATCTTTAATAAAGGTGAGGCTAGGGATGTAGTTGAGTGTTATAAGCGCCTGTCTGGCAAGTGCAAGGTCCTGAGTGTGATTCCTAGTATTAAAAAATTTTTTAAAAGTAAAGGTGAAATTTTGTTACTGCTTTAAAAAAGCATAATTTTTTAAAAAGTGTTAAGTTATAGTATAATTTGCTATTTTAAAAAAATTTGAGAGACCAGAAGTAATTATAAAATGTACATGATTTTCTATCTGATGTAGTTATTAACTCAGCTTATTATAAGTTCCTGAATAAAATTAATGGGCTCTGATCATTAAACAGCAAAAGTTCATTCTACTAAGCTAACTAGGAAGCTCTTCACCATCAGGTAACTATGGAATAGAAATTCCAGCCTCCCTTCTAACTAGTGCTTCCTGGTCTCCATCTGGTAACACTGCAAGTTATCTGTATCAGTTTAAAATGATTTATCCCTTGATAAAAGAAACTGAACTTGTACAGCAATTACATGATGTACTTTGTGAAGTAAAAGACTACTTTCTCCCACTATGTTTTATATGGGCACTTATCTTTATAAGTTACTCAAGTTTATGTACTTGTTCGAAGAAACTTACGCCTGTTGGTGTGCATTTAAGAGTGTATGTGGTGGCACACGCCTATAATCCCAGCACTCAGGAGGCTGAGGCAGGACAATTGCTGAGTTTGAGACCAGCCTGGGCTACAGAGTGAGTTCAAGGCCAGTGTGAACTGCATAGTGAGACCCTGTCTCAAAAAGACAAAAGAAAAAAACAACAGTGTGTGTGTGTATGTGTGTACATAAGAAACCCAAAATACAAAGAACAAAATAAAAGTTAGTTAATAGGAACTAGAGAGAGATCTTTCTCAGATAGAAAGGGGATCAAGAGATTGTGGGGGTTGCTGCCGTTGCGGAGGGAGGGAACATAAAAAGAACTTAAGATGTGTACTGCAAACATGCACTAATAAAAATTTTAAATTTTATAAAAATAAAGAGAAAGCATTTTCTCATAAAGTCTATCTCTCTCTTCTCTTTAGGATATTTTCTTTCCTCGATGTCGTTACCTTGTGTCGCTGTGCTCAGGTTTCCAGGGTAAGAATGGGTGGCATAATTACAAGGCAGTGATGGGAAACCTTTCGGAGCTTTCAATGAAACAAACAGCCCACTGTGGCACTCGTGCATAGGTTCGCCACCACTGTTATAGGGGGACCCCTTTCTGATGCTCAGGATATTTGCCATTCCAGTAAGTTAACTGTGTTTAGGTGTTTCTTGTACATTGTTATGTTTCAGTTATTTCAACCATGGCATACACATCCTATGTAATTCTATGATGGGGTTCTAAATACATGTACTATTCACTAACATTTTATAACTTTTATTTGCATAATATAGGCAGGAAACATTTTCTGTGAAAAACATTGAACATCTAAATTAAAAAGCTAGGCTTAACCTGGATTGGTAGCATACAACTTACAATGTCAACTACTGAGGAGGTTGAAGCAGGAAAATTACAAGTTTGAGGCAACTTGGACAGCTTAGGGAGTTGTCCTTGTGTCAAAATTTAAGAGAAGGGCCGAGCATGGTGATGCACCCTGTAATCCCAGCACTTAGGAGGCTAAGGCAGGAAGATGACTGCAAGTTTGAAGCCAGCTTGAGCTACAAAGTGAGGTTAAGGCCAGCCTGAACTACAAAGCAAAACACTGTCTCAAAAATGAACCCCCCACTCCAAAAAAAAGAATTTTTTCAGAGAAAGATAAAAAAAAGGTTTGGGAATATAGCTTAGTGGTATAGTGCATACCTAGTGCATATGAGGCCCTGCCTTCAATTCCTGTTATCACATTTAAAAAGTTAAGCTTGGGCTCAGGGTGTAGCTCAGTGGTAGAGCACTTGCCTAGCATGTCCCAGGCCCTTCAGTTCCTAGCACCACGAAAATAACAAGGATAGATTTGAGAAATTAATTTTTGAAAAGGGTAGGTTTATTTCTCCATATTCTTAAAAGATGTTAGCTAGAATCTTTTTTTGAAACTGGGAGTGTGGGTCAGTAGCAAAGCGTTTTGCCTTGCATGCTCCAGACCCTCAGTTCAGTCCCTAGCACATGAAGAAAAACTTCAAGCACAAACCAGATTTCATTCTGTCTTAGTTACTTTTCTCATTGTCAGGACAAAGTTAGAGAGGAAAAGGTTTATTTTGGTTCACAGCCTCCAGGGCAGGGCATCATGGCACAGGGACATGACAGAGGAGAAATGGGCAGGCAGGAAATAACAGCAGCGAGCCTGCCTTTCCCTTCTATTTCCTCCCGGCCATTTGGGTAACGCCACGCTCCTCCAAGGTGGGCCTTCAGTCTTCAGCAAATCTATTCAACCACACCCAGAACTGTCCTAATTGCAATCAGTGGACTAATTAGTGTCACACCCTTATCCCAGTGTCACATACTCCAGATCCAGCCAGCTCTGAAAAGCCCCACCTATGAGGGCAAAAGGCTTTAAGGGGCATCTGTTTTGTTTTTTGTTTCTTGGTTTTTTTGTGAGTGTGCCGGGATTCAAACTCGGGACCTTCCGCTTGCCACGCAGGCGCTTGTGCCACTGAGCTATGTCCGCAGCCCTTTTTTTTTTTAAGGTCATCTAGATGCAAGCCATAACACATTCCCAAATTAGCTTCTGTGTTGTGCTTGGGCAACCCAATGTATTCATTGGCATTGTTGTGACAATGGCCAAATACCATGGTTTCGTAAGCTGTCACTAAAAAGGGTAGAATATTCATTATGGGAAAATTACCTTAGAGAGTCATTTCTAATCTTTCATAATAAAAGCGTAATTAACTTGAGATATGCACCTACAATTACCATCTTTGTACAAATCAGACATCAGCTTTTAGTTCATTCATTTAACAAATATTACCAAATAGTTAACAGTCACTTCTGGGATGCAGAAATTACTGGGTTTTTTTTCCCCATGGGACTAGCGGCTGGAGAGCCTTTGCACTGAGCTGCGTTCCCAACCGTTTTTCTAAACTTTTTATTTCAAGACAGGATCTTGATAAATTGTCTGGGCTAGGCTGGAACTTGTGTTCCTCCTGCCTCAGCCTGCCAGAGAGCTGGGCTTATAGGAATGCAGCACCATGCCAACTCAGAAATTAAAGTTAGTTTGATAGGAACATTATACATTAAGGTTTGTTTTCTTATTTGTGTACATGCGTGTGTGGTGGTGGTTATGGTAAGAGTTTGAAGGGATGTTTAGGTCTGTGTTCACAGATAAATGTAATATGATACAACCGCATTATGTATACCATGTTAACTTACCAATATGCATGCCATTTTTAAAACAACCAATGGTGTTTTAAGTACTGGGATTTGAACCCAGAACTTCACACATGCTAGACAGCGCTGCACCGCTGAGCTACATCCTGAACCCTTCCTATTTGTGGGACAGGGTCTTGCTGAGTTGCCCAGGCTAGACTCTTCAGTCTTCCTGCCTCAGCCTCCTGGATAGCTGGGATTATACGCCTGTACTACAATAAGCCCCTACTTTAAAACAAATAATAAAAAAGATTGGGGATGTAGTTCAGTGTAGAGGCCCTAGATTCTTTCCCCAGAGGTAGGCAAGTGTTTCCAGTCTAATCTGGTTCTGGCTATAAGGCTTATCACAATCTGCCCTTCCGTAGTTAAAGATCTGTAGCTGCAGGTTTCTGTACCCCCGCGTTGATGGAGAGTAAAGAGTGTATCAGATTAAGGCGGATAGGCTGGGATTAGTTACCAGTAGGTGCTAAGGGATTTTTCAGCGTGCTTTTAGTCATTGGTTGGTTGATTGGTAAACATGAATATTGCTGGTTATTTATTTCAAATTTGCTCTTTCTGCCTCTTTTTCTTCAAAATAGGCCTGGAATGTTCTTGCTCTGGATGGCAGCAACTGGCAGCGAATTGACCTGTTTGATTTCCAGAGGGATATTGAGGTATAGTTATGTGGTGTGTGGCCGCATTTCTCTTGTTAGTAATTACAGCATGGAACAGATTAGCACCAGCCATATAAGTCTTATTTTCCTAGAGAGAGAAACTATTATTTTGAATATATCTGAAATTCATGGGCATTTCCAAAAGTTCCCAAGAGTTTCTTTCGTTTTTGAGAATAAGTATGATTATGTCATTGAAATAATACTAAATTACTTAGAATAATTTTAGTCCTGAAGTAGGACCCCAAGTGTTTTATTTTTGCAAAACTATACTATGAACGTGTGTTTGATGGGATGTTTTTGTTTTTTTTGCCTTTTTGAGACAGGGTCTTGCTATGTAGTGGAGGTTGGCTTTGAACTCACTTTGTAGGCCAGGATAGCCTTGAACATGCAGCCATCCTCCTGCCTCAGCCTCCTAAGTGCTGGGATTAAGGGCATGTGCCACCATGTCCCGCCTGGTGTTCGTTCATTTTAAAGAAGTCATTTTATATTTGTTCACTGAAGAACAGTAGAGTTGTTGGGATGCTACTTGCTTGTGTTTTTGAGATGTGCATTTTAGTTCTTGGAGAAGCAGAGATACGGTTTTAGTAAAATGAAGAATACCGAAATTGTGTATTAAATTGTTCTCCTTTTTTTTTTGAGGTTTCTTTATTTTCCTATTTCAACCAATAAAAAAACTTACATTCACAATTCAAGTTAGGCATTGCAGTGCTTAGGAAATCTTTTCCAGTAATACTTCCCACATGCATAGCTCTGTAGAATGTGGATGTGCTTGTTTATTACTTGGTACATAGTCATATCAGCTCCTTTCATGAGTTCCAGAAGGAACATCATACTTCTATCTTCATAATAAAATTATAGACATAATGAATATAATGAAACTGGTCATTGGAAGCTCAGTAGACAATATGATTTTTAGAGCATTATGTTGGTCCCTTTTGTTTTTTAATTTAACTTTATTTGTATAATTTAGATATACATAGCTGAGTGTGGTTGTGCACACCTGTAATCTCAGTGCTCCAGAGGCTGAGGCAGGAGGATCACTGCAAGTTAGAGGCCAGCCTGGACTATATAGTGAGTTCAAAGCCAGCCTGAACTATATATAGCAAGACCCTGTCTCAAAAAAAAAAAATTTTTTTTTCTTTAGGTATACATAATGGTCTCATTCATTATAGGCAATTTGTACCAGTTCATGATATGTCTTGATTCCTCTTTTTTTTTCTCATTTCTCCCCTCTTCAGCCCCTCTTCCCCTCCTTATTCACAAAGTTTTGTTTCCATTTTACCCTTTTCCCATTTCTTCTTTTTTCTTTCTTCCTTCACCCCTCCCTAGTTCCATTGTTCTTAAGAAAGGTTTATCCCCCACTTTCACTCACTCCCCCTAATATTTCATCTTTTAGTATAGCCTAAATCTCTAAAATAGAGAAGCATAATAGCCACACTGAAATTACTTTAATCTGAATTGAAATTCCTTAGTGCTCTCAGTCAGAGAGTAAAAATAACAGCTTCCTCACAGTGCTTTAAGCTTTAGCAGAAATAAATTTTCTTGAGGGTCCATGTAGAAAACTTTTAAAACCCTGTCATAAATCTTCCATTATCTTGGAACATGCTTCTGAAGTAACTCCCCCAGGCATTGTGCTGGATTTTAGTTTTCACAGTTCTCAGCCCTTCATGGGTGCAGATCTTCATATAGGACGCACAGTCACTTAGCAAGTCCAGTGTCCAGTGTTCACTGAGCTCTGCTCTACAGAGTGCTACAGATACTTCGGAAAGGAGAGCAGATGAATACCCACATTGTCGTTCACTAGCTGGTTTTTTTGTTTTGTTTTTTTATTTCTGTTTTTAATTTTATTAGTATTCCTTTGATATGAAGAGTGATCACATTTATCATAGGGACTTTGTACCTGTACGTGAAATATCTTGATTCTTTTTTTTCTCCATTCCTCCCCTGCAACCCTCCTGCTCTCCTTATTTAGAAAAGCTTTGTTTATATCCCACTCCTCCCTTCTCCCTCCCCACCACTTGTTTCGCTTCGCATTTGAACATTTTCTTCGTACTCCCAGTATCTGTCAATGCGATATTTAAACACTTGTGTCAAATTTATTTCACTTAAAAGTATGGTCTCAAGGTGGATCCATTTACCTAAAAATCTCTTTAAATTTATCCTTCTTTATGACAGAGTACTACTCGATTGCATATAAAAACCATATTTCATTTATCCATTCATCCATTGATGTTTTGTTTGTTTGTTTTGAGACAGGGTCTCGCTATGCAGTTTAGCCTGGCCTCAAATTCACAAAAGTCCTCCTGCCTCAGCTTCCCAAATGCTGGGATTACAGGCATGAGGCACCATACCCAGCTCAGTAGCTGTGCTTTAACCCAGGTGAACAGTATGCTTGCATGTAGTGCCTGCCATAAGAGACCTAGACGTATATTTTCAAATACAGAATATCTTACAAATTGAACACAATATTTTCCTATTTAATTAGGTCTTTGAAACACATAGAAACCATTTCTTTCTGTTTATAAATTGTTAAAAAGTAGGATGTATTCCTCTCAAAAGCAGTGAGGCAGGTTATCTGTTTACCTATTTCTCATTTCAGGGCCGAGTAGTGGAGAATATTTCAAAACGATGTGGAGGATTTTTACGAAAGTTAAGTCTTCGTGGGTGTCTTGGAGTAGGAGACAATGCATTAAGGTAAGATAATAATAATAATAATTAATAACTAATTAATCTGTTTTTTCCTTTAACTGAGAATTAAACCCAGGCCTTTCACGTGGAACTACATCCCAAGCCTTTTTTTTTTTTCCTTTCTTTTCTTTCCTTTTTTTCTGATTTGGCAATTATTTTTTTTTTCTATTTTGTCTTCTAAAGTAGACACTGATTTGTTTACAGTAAAGTTAATTTTAAGTGCACACAAAAGTGGAGCACAACAGTAAGATGAAATCCAGAGTAAAGCAGGCTAAAAGATACTCAAGAGATGCCTTTGTCAGAAAACTGACCACTCGAAGTAACTACCTGGAGTCCTCACCCTGGAAAAGCAGCAGCAGCTTCGTGTGCCAGCTCAGTGGAATTTGTAATTGTACCTTGTTCTCTGTTTATTACCTAGGAACAGTTTATATAGTGAAGTGGTCTTGATAGACAATCTGCATCCATGTAAATTAAACATTCTACAATAGTATAATTACAAGGCCACAATATTTCTTTTGGGCAAGCCACTTTATGTAAGCTTCTTAATGATTTTTTTGGTTTTTTGAGACAGGCTGTCACTGTGTAGTCCAGGCTGGCCTCTAACTCGTGACAGTCCTCCTGCCTTAGCCTCCCAAGTGCTAGGATTATACACAGGTGCCACCATGCCCAGCAATGTAGTGATTTTAATATCAACGTTATTCATTCTTTGAAATATAAAATGTTCATATATATGTACAAAGTATTTTAACTAAATTAAGGTTTGACATTTTAAAATACACACATCATTACTAGCATATTAAAATTATTTATACTGATTATATCTAACATCTAAAGAAAATTTACTGCTGAATTCTTATAGTAGCTGTTATTCTGCCATGCTTATTAATTGATTCTTATCGGTATAATTATAGATCAGCATGGTTTTAGTGTCTGTTTTTCACTTTACTAATCAGGACCGCAGCATGTACAGAATAAATAAGTAATGCAGCCACCCAACAATCAGGATAGCTCTTCAAGTTAGCTGTCACAAGCCCAAATACAAATCGCCACCATGTCAGCAAAGTTGGGTCCAATTCATCAAAAAGTGTTAGTGCAGGTTGTCAGATGCCTTCCAGTGTAGATCCCCAATCCAGTGGCTAGATGAGACAGCAGCAGGGATAGAAGAAAAAACCTTTAGAAATTCTGCAGAGAAAATGCCCCTTTTCTTCAGGACACTTTTGTTTCTCATACTGAGAGTAGCTGTGTGCTTTGGGTATTTAAAGAGGAGCTCCTCAGGGCTATTTTTTCTAGCCAGCTTGACCAATGCCATATCCAATCCAAGTTTTTCTTCAAGATGTCTTCAACTTCTCTCAATATAATTGTCCTTGGACTGAGAGCTGTTTCTTTCTCCATTGCTCTATGTATGTTTCAGAAGCTCTGTTAGTATCTTATTCTACTTTTTTTGTTGTTGTTGTTTTTTGTTTTTTTCTGGTACTGGGAATTGAACTCAGGACCTTGCACTTGCTAGGCAGGTACTGTGCTGCTGAGCTAAATCCCCAGCCCTTCTGTTAGTATCTTGTGTCTGTGAGCAAGGTGAGCTGTCACAGAACTCTTGGAGCTACTCCATCCAGATTCATGCTGGGCATCTGGCAGTGTTTTTTCCATGTCACCATTATAAATAGAAACTGAGGCTGGAACACTACTCCTGTCCCCATTATTGATGACCTGTGATTCTACCCAGAAACCCTTGCAGATTCTCCTGCAACCTGCAGACCCTGCTCTGCAACATGGCACCAGGAACTGCTCAACTATGGGTGTCAGTTCCCACCTGCAGCAATACCTTGATGGCAGTTGCCCAAGAGCAGGCACACCACAGACCTACAGCTCTGTACTCCCCAAGCTCTCTTTTTGAGACAGGGTCTCACTCCAGGCTGGTCTTGAGTTTGCTGTGTATCCCAGACTGACCTCCATCCCAGAGTGATCCATGGGCCTCAGCCTCCTGAGTGCTGAAGTTACAGGCATGTAACACCATGCCTGGGTTTTCCGGCCCTTTTTTATTTATTTTGAGACAACATCTTGCTAAATCACTAAGACTGGAATGGAACTTACTGTGCTCCTGCTTTGTCTTCCCATAATGGTGGAATTACAGGCATGGGCCACCACCCTGGCTTGATTAATCACTTGTTTTGGGTACCAGGAATCGAACTCAGGATCTTAAGCTTGCGGAGCGTGCCACTGAGCTATATCCCCGGCCCTGATTAATCACTTTGATTGCAATAAAGAACACCATCACCTCACCAGAAAATGCTTCAGGTAGTTTTTTAAAATTCTAACTGGTTGTAAATTCAAATGTGTATACATTGTTCATAACACAGAAATACCTGGTTATACAATTGTTGTAAGAATAAATAAGAAAAAAGAGTAAGAGTGTGAGAAGCTGAAAGAGTAAATAAGATCCAAAATGTGCAATAGATATTGTAAAATGGAAACTGTTTTCAAAAGGAAAGAGAACTTAAGATGGGGGAAGAGAGAAAGGAAGAAAAAAGAAAAAATATGTATATACACACATAGAAGATAGTTACCATCATCATACTAGTAATTTGTCTTAGTTCATTGAAAAGAAAGCTTTAGGGGCTAGGGATTTAGCTCAGCAGCACAGCGCCTGCCTGGCAAGCACAAGGTCGTGAGTTCGATTCCCCGTACCAGAAACACCCCCCTCAAAAAGAAAGGTTTGTACTAATACTGTTTGGACAATTAAATGCATATATCTTTTACTCTGAATAACTAATTTAAAAATAGCCATATGCAATATATTAACCATTGTTACTCTCCTATTACCGTGTTTTGAAATTTTGTTTTACTTTAAAATAAAATTAAAGGTGAGGGAGATAGCTCAGCAGCACAGTACCTACCTGGCAAATGCAAGGTCCTGACTTTGATTCCTGGTCCTGAATGAATGAATGAAATAAAGTCAGATACTTCCCCCAGAAAGACCAGATTCTTTATCATAAATGGTTCTTTTGGAACCAAGTAACTTTTTTTGTTCTTTGAACTTTGGTTTTCTTCCACCAATGACCAATTCTTCGATGTCTCATAATTCAGTACTGACAGTGAGCACACACAGTTATCTCAGACCCCACAGTCCAAAAAATAATAATGACTCAGAAAGTTACTCCAAAAGATTGCCCATATTGAGATGCCAGCTATAAGTCCCACATTGCTATGTAGTTTTGGGGAGCAGTTAGGGGGGTTACTGAGAATTGAATATACAGTCTTTACACTGAGCTTTATCCTTTCCCCTTTTTGTTATTTTATTTTGAGACAGGATCTTGCAAAACTGCCCAGGCTGGGCTTGAATGTGTGTTTCTCCTGCCTCAGCCTCCCATATACAGTGCTGGGATTATAGGCTTGCATCACCACACCCCACTGCTGTGTATTTCTGATGAGTGGGATGGAAATCAAGGGTTACCCTCCTCTCCTGGAGCTTGAGGATTTGCTGCAGTGGTCCACAGAACTCAGGAAACCCCTTTAGTTACCTTACTAGTTATTGTGAAGGGTGCAGCTGAAGTGCACAGTTTAGAGTCATAAGGGTCCCAAGAAGAAGACCTTCCATGCCTGACGAATTAGTGCATTCCACCTCCCAGCACATGATTGTGCTCACCCACCCAGAAGCTGCCCAGTCCCCCTCACTTAGGGCTTTTTATGATGGCTGTGTTACCTAGCCATAGTTGAACCACAAGTATTATAACAGAAGGTAACTCCTGTCATGTAGGAATTGCAGGGGTCTTAAAAGGTCTATTCAAATAACTAGAGATGGAAACTGAATACATATTTCTCCTATCACAATATCACAAGTATCTTTTTTTTACTTTTTATGCTAGGAATTTTGCCCATTTCATTTAACCTTTTACTTTGTTTCTTTCCCATAAAGGACATTTGCACAAAACTGTAGAAATATTGAAGTACTGAATTTAAATGGATGTACAAAGACTACAGATGCGTAAGTATTGCATACTTTAGAAGGGTAAATACATTGTGGATGGTGCTTATATGTGACCTGTGGATGCTTTAAATGAGGGCTAATTACTATACTGAGCTGATCACAGGAAAGATTTGGTTTGGTTTGGTTTGGTTTGAGTTTTGATTTTTTGAGACAAGGTCTTACTATGTATTTCAGGTTGGCCTTGAACTCACTCCATAGCCCAGGGTGGCCTCAAACTTGCAGTGATCCTCTTGCCTCCTCCTCCCAAGTCCTAGAATGACAGGTGTGCACCACCATGCCTGGCTCAGGAAGGATATTTTAAAAGAAGAAGGCAACATGAAAGTGGAAAAGAAGACTGGGCATTGTGGCACACACCTATAATCCCAGCACTTGGGAGGGCTGAGACAAGAGGATCATTGCAAGTTCGAGACCAGCCTGAACTGCATAGTGAGACCCTGTCTCAAAAAGACAAAAAAAAAAAAAAAAGAAAGTGGAAAAGGAATAAGAATTTGAAATAAGAATATTGTATTTAAAGTGAAATTAAAATCATAGTCAATCTATATGTAGTAGGGATAATAAAAGCCACAGTAGGCCAGGCATGGTGGCACATGTGTGTAATTCCAGCACCCGAGAGGCTGAGGCAGGAGGATTACCTCATGTTCAAGATCATCCTGGGCCACATAGTGAGTCCGGGCCAGCCTGAACTACACAGAGAAACCCTGTCTTTAAAAAAAAAAAAAGAATTTGTGTTTGGCAAGAAAAGAACTACTGTAAGACTGTAAGACTATAAATGTCTAAGTAGATCTGGCTGAATAATAAACTAAATATGTGCAAAGGTGAATAATAAACTATATATGTACAACTATATATGTAAAAAGCCAGGAGTGGTGGTACACAGCTGTACTCCCAGCACTCTTAAGAGGCTAAGGCAGGAGAATTGAGAGTTCAAGCCCAGTCTGGTGCACTTAGAGATACAGTGAGACCCTGTCTCAAAATAAAAAGCTGGGGTTGTTGTCATTCAGTGGTAGAGCACTTGCCTAGTATACAGGAGGCCCTGGGTTCAGTCCTGAGTACCGCAAAGATCTGAAACAAAAAAAGAAACAAAGTGTATGTCAGGTCAGGTGGGATGGTATTCATCTGTACTCCCACTTAGGAAGCTGAGGCAGGAGGATCACAAGTTCATGGCCAACCTGGGCAACCTGAGAAGACTCAAAAAATAAGGGGCTGGGGATGTGGCTCAGTGATGAAGTGTTTGCTGAGCAACTGTGAACCCTGGGTTCATTCCCCGTACCACAAAAATGAATAAACAAACATTCTTAGTTTGTGGGTCATATGAAAACAGGCAGCAGGCAAGATTTGGCCCTTGAGCCATAGTTTGCTGACCTCTGGAATAAAGGACAAAAACCACATGATCATCTCATTGTAATAGATGGCCTTCAAGTAATCCTATTTCTGGGTATTTCCACTCTTGTGTAATCCTTTCCCCTTGTGGGCTTCGGGGCCCTCGTGACTCATTTCTAACAATAGAATAAATGCTGCAGAAGGGGTGGGATGTTGTTGTTGAGATTAAGTTTCAGGGAGTCTTCTGTCCTGCTCAGCTTTCTCCTGGGTCACTAGTTCTTGGGGAGGCAGGCTGCTCTGTGGAGATGTCCACGTGGCCAGGAACCCATGTCTCTAGCCAGCCACTCATGAGGGCTGGACACCTACCAAAGCGGAGGGTGAGCTTAGAATCGGATCTTGTGTGTCTGCCAGTGGCCACCTACATGAGCTGGGAAGGAGACTGAAACGCGGTGCAGCCTGGAAACGATTCGGCCAAGCTCTGATGCCTCGATGGCAGGCGCCTATGAGAGCCTCAGTGAGAGGCCCTCGGCTAAGTCGCCCGAATGCCCCTCACCCACACAAGCTGTGAGACGCTGTGTCTGCTGTTTCAAGCCACTCTGTGTTACGGTAATTTACTACACAGAAAGATAACTAATACATTACTAGGCGTGAAAAATGCAAATGACAAAATCCAGTACCCTTTCTTGACAAAAACAAACACTGTACAAGGAAATTTCTTCATCATAGTTAAAGACATCTATGAAAAACCTGCTGCCAACATCACACTTACTGATGAAAGCCTGAATGCTTTTTCCCTAAGGTCAGGAACAACATTCATTTTGGGGGAACAATCTGAACTCAGGGCCTCATTGCAGGATCTAACCGATAGGTAGTTTTTAAAAATACATACTGATAAAAACGTGTGACGTAAAACTTTATTTGCAAATAACCTAATTCTGTAATTGTATATGTATAAAATCATAAACTATCAAAATACTACAATACATAAATAAGTGTAAGATATTTACTTGCAACAAGATCAGTGTGTACATACAGGGTGCTGTATGGCATGCCTGTAATCCCAGCACGCTGAAAGGCTGAACCAGGAGGATCCCAACTTTGAGCTCAGCCTGGGAGATTGAACAATTTGACAAAACCCTGTCTCAAAATAAAAATGAAAAAAGGCTGGGAATATGGCTCAATAGAAAGGCCCTGGGTTCAATTGCCAGTACCACAAAAAAAAGTCAGTATAGAAAAAATAATTCTGTTACTATAGATTAGTGACAAGCAGTCCAAAATTGAAACTTAAGAAAACCACTTCATGCACAATGAAAAGAATCAGTAGATTTAATAAAAGAAGTACAAGGCTGGTGCACTCCAGCTGGGTGTGGTGGCACTCGCCTGTAATCGCAGCACTCAGGAGGCTGAGGTAGGAGGATCATTGTGAGTTCGAGACCAGCCAGGGCTACAAAGTGAGCTCAAGGCCAGCCTGAGCTGCATAGTGAGACCCTGTCTCAAAAAAAAAAAAAAAAAAAAAAAAGACTGGTGCACTCTAAACCATCAAACATTACTGTAGAAATCAAATTAAAGCACTCAGGAGGCAGAGGCAGGAGCATCATTACAGTTCGAGGCCAGCTTGGGCTACAAAGTGAATTCAAGGCCAGTCTGAACTATATAGTGAGACCTTGTTTCAGAAAGACGAAAAGAAAAGAAGGAAGGAATTCAAGAGGATATAAAACGGAGAGATGCCCCCGTGTGGTAGTGCATGCCTGTAATCCCAGCACTTGGGAGGCTGAGGCAGGAGGATGGCCATGAGTTGGAGGCCAGCCTGCACTACATAACAAGTTCAAGGCCAACCTAAAATACATAGTGAAACCCTGTCTCCAAAAAAAAATATATATATATATATATGAAGAACAATGTTGGAAAATTGAACCCAGTTTGGACAATTTGTTGACTTTAGACCCTATCCCAAAATCTAGAGAAAAAAAAAATTTTTTTTTTTGTCTTTTTGAGACAGGGTCTCGCTCTGCAGTTCAGGCTGGCCTTGAGCTCACTTTTGTAGCCCAGGCTGGCCTCAAACTCGAAACAATCCTCCTGCCTCAGCCTCCCGAGTGCTGGGATTACAGGTGTACACCACCATGCCTGGCTGAGAAATTTAAGAAGGGCTTGGAATATAGTTACCAGGATTGGAAAAAAAAATTTTTAAAGAATATAGAGAGCTGGGCATGGTTGTACACACCTGTAATCCTGGCACTTGGGAAGCTGAGGCAGGAGGATTGCCATGAGACCATCCTGTGTGTGGTAGTCTCTTACAAAGCTAGACTTAACTGTAGGGTTTATCATCTGTCCAAAAGATACAAAAGCATTGGTCCACCCAAAGACTTATTAGGGAGATACATCCCCCCAAAAAGAATGTGTGACTCTTGTTTAAATCCTAGTTTAAACAAATCACTTTGACAGAGCCATTTATGAGACAATCAGGAGAAACTTAACACACACTTGTATGAGATATTTAAAAATTAATTATAGTAATTAGCAATTCTCTATTGGAAATACAGTGGCGCCTAAACTTAGTTTGTTCCAGGATTCTGGAAAAGATAGCCACAGTTGTGTTTGTCACCTGATGTAGTTTGCAAACAGAAACAGAATTTTGGCCAAGCATTGACTACATAGTGTGTTCAAAGCCAGTCTTAACTACACAGTGAGACCCTGTCTTAAAAAAATAAAAAACATGCCAAACGCTTTTGTTTGCAAACCTATTCACAGCTGAGGTAATATGCTTTAAAATTACTGGAATGTGCTTTAAAATGCTGGAACAAAAGGGGGAGAAGGGAATAGGTTATTTTTTTTTCCAATGAAAAAGGGCCCGGAAATGTACTTCAGTATTTATCTAGCACGCACGAAGCCCTTGATTCTATTGCCAGCATGGCCAAAAGAAAATAAAAAGTAAAAGTTCTTAAAGTACAGTCAGTAGCAGTATTACCTGCTTACTTGTTCAGCCAGTCTGAGCTCATCTGTATGCCGTGTATGCCTTCCCAAGCATGGTAGTATGTGCCTGTACCAGCTACTACAGATGCTGTAACAGGATTGTAAACTCAAGGCCAAACTAACTAACTCAGCAAGTAAGACCTGTCTCAAAATAGAAAGGGCTGGAGATCTAGCTCGGCAATCACTGGTTTCACTCCCCAGTATCACAAGAAAAGAAATCTGATGCATTAGTGCAATGCAGTTGATTATCTTGAATAGAGATTTAAGTAAAACAACAGGCAGAACTTTTGGTCCTCATACTTGACCTCGTGCTAGCAGGAGCTTAATTTTCTGGTGTTCTGGATTTGAAGAATACATGTAGATCCCAGAGAGCTCACATAAGCAGTGTGCTGTTAACATTTCCCAGTGGAAATCACCGTCTTCCTCACCCACAGCTAGGCTTTCTTTTTCTTTGTGAACAGTATCTGCCCCTTCCTCAGTGCAAAGATCCCAGGGAATAGAGCTGCTTTTGAGGAGTATGAAACTTCTATGTTTCTAATATGCACACATTTACTGAGAAAGGTATGTGATATAGTAAGAATGTGTCCTTATTTTGTTTGTTCATTATTTTTCCTTTCTCCATTTTCAGTACATGTACTAGCCTTAGCAAGTTCTGTTCCAAACTCAGGCACCTAGACCTGGCTTCCTGTACGTCGATAACAAACATGTCTCTCAAAGCTCTGAGGTAAATTTCTTGTTATAAGCATGTCCATTAGTACATACTTTTATAGGCTGATACAAGTTGGGATTGATAGCAACCTTGTTTTATGGATATATACTGTAGTTTTGAATAGATCTTTAATTTTACCACTGTCCAAATTAGAGTTAGAGGTAATACTTAAATGAAATGACTTGCAGCAATTGGAATTTCTGAACAGCATAGCACAGTTTATTCATGAATGATGTTTTTGTGTTTTTTAACCACTTACTAGTGCAATTATTTAAATACAGGATGACCAAAAATTGCTTTTTTTATTTTATTTTTTTTGGTTTTTCTCGAGTACCGGGAATCAAACTCACAACCTCACGCTTGCCAGGCAGGCGCTATGCTGCTGAGCTAAATCCCCAGCCCCAAGTTGCATTTTTTATTACTTTTTACAATATAACAGAAGATATAAAACAACAGTTTTATCAAATTTAAAGAATCCACTGGTCGGACTGGGCATGGTGGAGCATGCCTGTAATCCCAGCACTCGGGAGGCTGTGACAGGAGAATTGTTGTAAGTTTGAGACCAGCCTGGGCTACAAAGTGAGCTCAAGGCCAGCCTGAACTGCAGAGTGAGACCCTGTCTCAAAAAAGACAAAAAAAAGAAATCCACTGGTTGAAAAGACATCTGCCCAAGCAACATTCAGGATAGACAATACATAAATAAGCACACTGGGGCTGGGGATTTAGCTCAACAGCACAGCACCTGCCTGGCAAGTGCAAGGTCATGAGTTTGATTCCCGGTACCGGAAATAAATAAATACATACATACATACACACACTGCCCAGATGACACGAGTATAGTGTAAAGTGGTTAAAGTCCTTACAGATCCAGAAGATAAAAAAAGGGAGATAAAATGCTCATTTTCTTAGGAAACTTACTTTTTTAACCAGCTCTTTAATAAATTGATATGGTCCCCTTATTGATTTTACTTACATGTGTTAAGAGTTAAGCTGTTTAGGCTGGGCAGTGTGGCACATGCCTGTAGTCCCAGCACTAGGGGAGACTGAGGCAGGAGAATTGCTGTGATTTCAAGGCCAGCTTGGGGTCTAAAGTGAGTTCAGGCTGGGCATGTGGCACACACCTGTAATCCCAGCACTCAGGAGGCTGAGGCAGGAAGATGGGTTTGCAAGTTTGAGACCAGCCTGGGCTACAAAGTGAGCTCAAGGACAGCCTGAACTCCATAGCGAGACCCTGTGTCAAAAGTTAAAATACAGTGAGTTCAAAACCAGCCTGAACTGCATACTGAAACTCTGTCTCAAAAAGAAAGAAAAATAAGAAAGAAAGCTGTTGAAAAAGAAAAAATGAATTAAAAATATTTAGAAATAGGCCAGGAGTGGTGCCACATGCCTTTAATCCCAGCACTTGGGAGGCTGTGGCAGGAGGATCACTGCAACTTTGAGGCCCTCCCCTAAACAGAACAAGGGCCAGTAATATGGCTCAGCAGCACAGTGCCTGCCTGGCAAGTGCGAGATTGTGAGCTCAGTTAGTTCCTGGTACAAAAAAAAAAAAGATTTAAATAGAATATATAAAAGTGTGGCTCCTGTATTTATTTATTTTCTTACTTATTTTAGATGTGGCTCTTTTTAAACCTTCCTTGTAAATACTGACCACATACAAGTTTAAGGACTTTACCATGCAGGATAAATATAATAACCTTTATCATTTATAAAATATTTTCATATAAATTATCTCATTTATCTGAGAGTAGCTAGAACAGATATTTCTTCAAAGCTGTCAAGTGCCCAGGTAGTACTGGTACAACCATGAGAATATAAAAAGCTTGGTATCTATCAGTATTTCAGCTATAAAATTAAATTGATATGGGTTAAAAGGATCAAAGATGAAGCTAGTATTGTGCAGGCAGAGACTAGCTGATTGTATATACCTGTAATCAAAGCACTCTGGGAGGCTGAGACAGGAGGACTGCAAATTTGTCTAAGCCTAGACAGCTTAGTAAAGAGCCTTGTCAAAGCCGGCTACATGGTTGCATTTCCAGACACCAGGCATTTCTGCACTGCTGATGCTGCACGGAAGCTGAAGCCACACATCCCACGCCACTGCCAGCCTCTCAGATGCGAGCTGGCTCACTTGCTGCTGGTAGCCCACAGCCAGTCTGGTGGCCCAGATGGCAGCCACTGCAGCAGGTGTGGCCCTGGGCTGTTGTTGGGTACACACTGGGTCCTGCCATCCCTGGTGGGTTTTGGTAGAAGAAATAATGCTAAGTCCTCGGAGCCTAACATCACTTACCAAGAGCCTCAGGGACCCACGCTGGAGCAGTAGCAACAGTCTCATGGGTCTTGCTTTTATATGATTTCTTTTGGAGTGTACCCAGAAGCAGGGTGACGTTAGACTCTGTGAAGTTTTTGATGGAGTGCTGAGCCAGTGCAGAATTGCAGGTGGATAGACTTAAACAGGAAGATCCAGTGGAAGAACTGGGCAGTCAGTTCTGACTGTGTTACCTTAGCATGAAAATGTAATGAAGGGATGTGTAGAGTGTAAACCCTTAAGCCTCTCATTATGAATAGCTTCATTGCTTCAGAATGGCAATGGAAAAGAATATTCTGTGTGGAAACTCACTGAGCTGGTACAGAATTTAGGGCAGACATTTCAGGTGCTTCCTTAAACAGATTGTTCTGATGTTATTACCCTAGGGTTAGAATAAAGGGATTAGAATAAAGGGATTTTCTTCCCTGAGGGAGCTAAGGCCCCACATGTGAAAAACACAAACATAGGCACACAGTTTCAGGCACTGAGTTCAATCTCCAGTGCTGTAAGTAAATAAAGAAATTTAATTTTATAGTGAAGGTTTTTAAATCCTCGTTACTACTACTGTTTTGACACTAATGGAATTACTTGATGGGGAATCTGAGTTGAAACCTGAACTTTCAGTTGTTTTTGTAAAATGGAATAATTCCATTTCAGTTTGTGTCTTCATCTGAGAAATACTATTGTGCTTTGTGCATTTTGCTTAGGCTGGGTGTGAGAGGGCACCTGCAGGTGCCTTTGGAGTTTGAGATAGTGATCTGCATGTCTTGTGTGTTCTATTCTAAGCGAGGGGTGTCCACTGCTGGAACAACTGAACATTTCCTGGTGTGACCAAGTAACCAAGGATGGCATTCAAGCACTAGTGAGAGGCTGCAGCGGGCTCAAGGCCTTATTCTTAAAAGGCTGCACACAGGTAATGTTCCATGTAGCCCTTGGGACAGGTCAAGGAAATGTGAACTGTGTTTCACCATTACCAAGGTTTTTGTTTTGAGGGAAATGTGAGTTGTGCATACTACTGACCAAAGAGACTTGCTTCCCAAGAGTTTAGGCATTTTCCTTAGAATGAAGAAATGAGAAGAATTAACATCTAACCAAAAATAGGGGCTGGGGATTTAGCTCAGCGGCACAGCGCCTGCCTGGCAAGCGCAAGGTCGTGAGTTCGATTCCTGGTCCCAGCAGGGGGAAAAAAAAAAATAGGTGGGGGCAGAGCAGAGTGGGGAGATGAGCTTACACTGAGGAAACACTTACAAAAAGAGTTTCGTACAGGATTTGGTCTATACTGAAAAGAAAGTTTCTGCCCAGAGTTATGGTGCTCCCCTCTGATCCCAGCACTTGAGAGGCTGAGGCAGTAAGATTACCATAAGTTTTAGCAGAGCATGGACTATATAGTGATATTCTGTGTCACACAAACAGAACAAAAAATAACAGCTTGAGCTTTGGGTATTTATGGAATCCTCAGAAATACTGATGGGAATGCACCATTATGATTAGTTAACTTCTGTTCTCCATGATATAAACAGGCAGGATCTTTCAGCTCCAGATAAATGCTCTGAATTCTGTTCTCGTCTCCCAAAAGTTTTTTAAGGCCGGGCATGGTGGCGCATGCCTGTAATCACAGCACTCAAGAGGCTGAGGCAGGAAGATCTTTGCAAGTTTGAGGCCAGCCTGGGCTACATAAGTGAGTTCAAGGCCAACCTAAACTGCATAATGAGACCCTGTCTCAAAAAGAAAAAAAAAGTTTTTTAAAACTTTATAGCAATCCCCAGTGCTAGAGAGGGAAAACTTTTATAAAGGAAGGAGTATAGAATTATGAAGATCATTTTAGTTTATAGTCCCTCCACAATACAGTAAGGTATATTCATTACAAGTAAAATCCATCAACTCAGCCAGTATTTATTTTATCTTTTCCTTGATTTATAATGTGAATTTGTGCAGTAAGAACTGATTTTTTGGCTAGGCGTGGTGGCACATGCCTGTTTTAATCCTAGCACCTGGGAGGCTGACTCAGGAGGATCCTGTGAGTTCAAGGCTAGCCTAAACTGCCTGGTGAAACCTTGTCTCAAAAAGACAAAAAGTATTTCAAAGTACTGATAACCCTGCTACTAATAGGAATTATGCTGTTGCATGTTCATAATTTATTATTTGTGGTTCGTTCTTTAAAGCTTGATTGGCTGTATTGAGAATGTAATGGTGGGGGCTGGGGATTTAGCTCAGCGGCACAGCGCCTACCTGGCAAGCACAAGATTGTGAGTTCGATTCCTGGTACTGGAGAAAAACCAAAAAAAAAAAAGAGAATGTAATGGTGAACATGTGCACTCTTAAGGCTTGCTCCTTGGAAACAATGCCAGTAACCACCTATTTTTTTTTTTTAATCTTTGTAGCTAGAAGATGAAGCTCTCAAGTACATAGGTGCACATTGTCCTGAGCTGGTGACTCTGAACTTGCAGACTTGCTTAGTAAGCATCCTTCCCACAAGGCTTCTTTATTAGTAATTCCTTTCACTAGTGTTCTGATGTTACTCTAACTTTCAGGCCCAGTAGCTTTGCCACAGCAACCCTACGGACACAGGACACTCACACATGACTCTTGTCTTTCTGGAGGGTTGGGGGTTGGTTTTTGAGACAGGGTCTCACTATATATAGTTCAGGCTGGCCTTGACCTCTCAGTGTAGTCCAAGCAGGTCTTGAACTTACAGCGATCTTCCTGCCTCAGCCTCTCAAGTGCTGGGATTACAGGTGCGTGCCACCATGCCAGCAGATGACTCCTACTTGTGTTTTTATTGTTGCTTTATTTTGTTTTGAGACAGGGTCTGGCTGGGTTGAACTCACTATGTAGCCCAGGCTGGCCTCTGATCTATAGTGATTCTCCTGCCTCAGCCTCCCAAGTGCTGCAGTGACAGGCAGGTACCACCCTGACTTTTGGCTTTTACCTGCTTAAGAAAATCTATCTGCTTAGCCTGGCATGGTGCCACATACCTGTTACCTCAGCACTTTGAGAAGCTGGGGATAGGACAACCCTAAATTAAAGACCCATCTGGGCAACTTGGTGGGCTTCTGTCCCAAAAAATAAAAGGGCCTGGGAGGTAGCTGAATAGTAAAAAGAAGATACATCAGTGGTTCAGCACTTGGAAGCCACCATATCCAGCACCTATGTTTTGTTGTGTTGTGTTGTATTGTGTTTTGTTTTGTTTTGTTTTTAGTCTTCAGTGTGTTAATTTCTGCTCTGATCTTTATAATTTTCTCCCTCATACAAGCTTTTGGCTTAGCCTGCCTGCTCTTTTTCCAGAAGTTTGAGGTTCACCATTAAGTTGTTTATTTGTACTTGCTCTGTTTTCTGATATGGTGTTCACTGCTATAAATTACCCTCTTAGGACAGCTTTCATTGTGTCCTGTAAGTTCCAGTATGTGTTGTTGCCATTATCATTTAATCGTAGAAACTGTCTTGGCTTGAAATTGACTTTGTCTGCAAATAGAGTAGCTATCCCTGCTTTTCTCTGACTTCCTGTCACATGGAGTATTGTTTTCCATCCTTTGACTTTGTCTATGAATTTCTTTCTTAATTAAATGTGTTTCTTGTATGTAGCATATTGTAGCATCTTACTTACTGATCCATAGTGCCAGTCTGTGTCTTTTGATTGGTGAATTGAAACCATTAACATTGATGGTTATAACCGTTACCCTTGTCATGTTATTTTCCTGTTGTTGGCGGCCCCCTTTTTTCCTTCCCTCTGTTTAATTATTTGCCTTACCTGGTGGATTTCTTTTGTTCATGTTCATGGAGTTGTAGACCTTGTTATCTCTTTATAAAATGTCCTTCAAATGTCCTTCCAGGGTCTGGGGATTTAGCTCGGGCACAGCGCCTGCCTGGCAAGCACAAGGTCATGAGTTCAATTCCCGGTACCAGGAAAAAACAAATGTCCTTCCCAAAGCATTTTGGAGTGCTGGTTTGGTGGTCATAAATTTCCTTAGATGTTCTTTGTTATGGAAATATCTTATTTCTCCATCAGTTTTGAAAGATATTTTGTAGGGTAAAGGTTGTTTTCCTTTAGAACTTGAAATACTTCACTCCAAGCTCAGGAAGCTTGGAGAGTTTGTGCTCAAACTTGAGAGTTTGTGCTCAGAAGTCAGCTATGATTCTGATGGGCTTTCCTTTATAGGTGATTTGAGTCTTTTCCCTAACAGCTTGTAAGATTCTCTTCTTGTGTTGAATTTCTGAAATCTTGACTACAATATGCCTGGCTATAGTTTTTTTTTTCAATTGTGGCTAATTGGAGGTTTATATGCCTCCCTTACTGTATGTTAAATTTTTCTAAAAGAAGAATTTAAAAGAAACTTCTCTATCAGAGAAGTTTTCTGCCATGACATCTGTGAACAGTTTTTTTTGTATCACTTGTGATATCTCCTACTTTCACTTTGACTTCAGTCAGTCCCTCATCTAGCAGCTCCTGGATTAATTTCTCATGGTCCCTTGCTGTTTTTAAGAAATATTTCTTTTCATGAGTGTAATGACAAGCCTGTCTTCTATATCTGAGATCCTGTCCTCACGTTGGCTTAATCTGCTGCAGATACTTTCAATGGAATTTTTATTCTTTTGGATATCTTCTTAAATCTAACTTATGGATTCCAATTCTTTCCTATGCTGAGCATTCATGGCTTCCATAATTTTTTTAAGCTCCTGTATTTTTTTATTTGTATCTGCTCTAGACTCACTAAGCATGGTTTTCATTGTGGACACCATCTCTGCAATTATCTGAGAAATTATTTCTGATTTGATTTTTTGTAGAGCCTCATTCCTTTGTTGTTACCACTTCAGAGATGCCAGGTGGGTGGCTTTCAGAGTGTCCCACCTCATTGCCCCCTGGATTTGGCTTTGGTAAACTAGATGTCTGGGGTTGCATTTTATTTAAGTGTCTTCTCATTTTCTTTTCTTTTTTTAGTTTAATTCTGTGGTGGTGCTTATAAATTGCTTATGGTGAATTGCCTTATTGGTGGTATTTAGAACCCTGAGGAAATGACTGCTTCTCTGAGGTATCTTCTAGGTGTAGCTGGTTTTAGGGTTTTGAGTCTGTTGCAAAATCTTACATTTTCAATTTATCAGGGATGAGAAGTTGCTACCTGTTTGTCAGCCCCTAGTTCTTTGACACTGTGCTACATTATTTTCTATGATCCTTAGTCAATCTCAGTATTGGAATATCAGGAAAAACAGCTGTTTAGAACAGTTATGTCTCTCTTGGCTATAGTGGTACCATCAGCAGTGACAGTAGTATTAAACATAGCCTAGAAAATGACAAACTGAGCTAACCGTTAATTTACCACCTTTAACTGTGTGAACTAGATATGTGGTTATATGACAAAATCTAAAACAAACCAGAAAATTATATGCAGTATACAAGTCCTTAATATGTCAGTTTTGCCCTTGGGGGTTAAAATTTCAAGTGGGGTAGGGAGAAAATAGAGAAGTAGAAAAGAAAGCTATTAAAAGTAAGGCTGAAGGCCTGGGCGTAGTGGCACAAGCCTGTAATCCCAGCACTCAGGAGGCTGAGGCAGGAAAATCATTGCAAGTTCGAGACCAGCCTGAGCTTAAGGCCAGCCTGAACTACCTAGCAAGACCCTCCCTCGAAAAATGACAAAAAAAAAAAAAAAAGAAGAAGAAGTAAGGCTGGAGGACAAGGGGGATCAGGATAACTTTGGGAAGCTGGTGCAGAAGACTGGCGGGCAAGAGAGGGAAGTGATAAAAAGAAGAAGAGAACAGAACCACAAAGAGGATGGAAACCAGGTTCACACTCATATAAAAACAAGATCAAACAATAAAGGAGAAAAAAAGCAAAAACACACCAAAAAAAAAAAAAATTGAGGGAAAAAAAGTCTACTTCCAGGTGTGACTTTCCTGTCACTGGTAGACAACATGTGAAGACCTTCCTGATCCATGTTGATCTGTCCCCACAAGCCAGCAGTAGCTTTTTGGTGGGGTAGTGGATAAGCTCAGTGAGCCTTCACCTTCTGGCTGAGACCAGACTCATTCGGCCTGCAGCCATCAGCACATCTTCGGTGGGCCTGAGCCCAGCTGAGAGCCACTGAGTTCTGAGCTCAGTCAGCCCCTCTCAAGATGCCTCCCAGCTAGTCCTTCTCTCTCATGGAATGACTGAGCCCTCAGCACTCACCACCAGCTAGTGGCAGTCCTTCATGTCCGCTACTCCTCACCATTGTTGCATTTCTCTGTGGAAACCTGTGGTGTCACCAGTAGTCACTGTGTGTCCACAGGCTTGAACTGTTCTTCCCATGCAGTGAGTCCCCTCTCAGGGAGAAGGTGCCACCGGCTACCTCCTTTTTCTTCGTTAAAGTTTCTCTCTTCACTCTGTCTATGGGCTTCAGTTCATGCTTCAGATCCTTCCTAGGTCCAGGGTACCCACTTCCCTCCTTGTCTTCCTCACATTGCTATATTCCAGTGTCTCGACGGTGACTGAGTCTCAAAGAGGCTCTTTCTTTGCCACTTACAACTTTACCATCTTGGTGCTCAATCAGTGACAATATCAGAAGAGCTTTTAAGCCTACACAAAATCGGTAAGTCGTCCAGGATACATTCAAGTGCTGATAGTATCTACCATGTTAAAACTGGGTTTGGTGGCACATGCCTTTACTCCCGGTACTTGGGAGGCTGAGATAGGATGGCTGTGAGTTTGAGGCCAGCCTGAGCTGCATAGCAAGACCCTGTCTCAAAGAACCAAAAAAAAAAAAAAAAAAAGGCTTATATGTCATGTTGTATTAAGACTTTTTGTATTTTTTATTCTATTTAAGTTTAAGGTAGGCATAGTTGCACATACCTGTAATACCAATGTTTGAGAGGCTGAGGCAGGAGGATCACATCAAGTTCAAGGCCAGCCTGAACTACATAGTAAGACTCTGTCACAAAACCCAAGTAAATAAGCTTAAAACAGTTTTGTTTTGTTTTTTTTTTTCAAGCAGGGTCTTGTTATGTAGCCCAGGCTGGCCCTAAACTCATGGAGATCCTCCTGCCTCAGCTTCCCAAGTGCTGGGATTATAAGCATGTACCACCATGCCTAGCTAAAACAATTTTTAAACAATGCAGAATTATGTATCTAGTGAAACACAACTGTTTTATCTCCATAGATTAGGCTGTTCTTTATGTTATACTGTTAGTTCATAGGAAAAATTGGATGTTGTAGTGAGATAGCAAATATTGCCAGGTGTGGTGGCGCACTCCCGTAATCCCAGCACTCGGGAGGCTGAGGTAGGAGGATCATTGTGAATTTGAGACCAGCCTGGGCGATAAAGTAAGCTCAGGGCCAGCCTGAACTGCACAGCAAGACCCTGTCTCAAAAAGCCACCCCCCAAAAAAAGCAAATATTATCCAGAATGTTTTTTTTTTTACTTCACTAACAAGTTTCAATTTGAACTTGTAAATATGTTTATACTATTCAAATACTACTGTTCTTGCCACATTTGTAGGTTTTAACGTCAGTTAATTCAGTCTACACCCTAACATGCCCTGTGCTGCTCCTAGTCTCATTAGGTTAAATTTCATTCTAGCATTGTGTCCCTTTTACCAGAAGGGAGCACAGATTCTTTGCAGACTCCATCAGAAAGTAGTCAGAAAAAGAAACAAAGTGTGTCCCATTTCTTTTAGCAGATAGGTGAGCTATTTCATATTAAACTTGCCTAGGTTTCTTTTTTGTGGTTTGTTTTTCACAGAAGTATTATTTTTTTTCCTTCTTTCTATTCTACTGAGTTACTGATACCTGTTTGTTGTTGTATTTTAGCAAATCACAGATGAAGGTCTTATCACTATATGCAGAGGGTGCCATAAGTTGCAGTCCCTCTGTGCCTCTGGCTGCTCCAACATCACAGATGCCATCCTGAATGCGCTAGGTCAGAACTGCCCTCGACTTAGGTAAACATTTCTTACGTAACTAAAAAACATCAGGGAAGAAGAACAAAAGCCTCCTGCACCTGTGTTTATTTCTTGGAACTTTAACATGTTATTTATGCTTTCGTATGATTCCTATCTCAAAGAGACTTTTATTTTTGGGGGGTAGCGGGAGTGGTGCCGGGAATCGAAGTCAGGACCTTGCACTTGCAAGGCAGGTGCTTGTGGAACTGAGTTATATCCTTGACCCTCAAAGAAGCTTTGAAAGATCGATCTTAAGCTGGGCATGGTGGTGCACGCCTGTAATCCCAGCACATGGGAGGCTGAGGCAGGAGGATTGTTGTGAGCTTGAGACCAGCCTGAGCTACAAAGTGAGCTCAAGGCCAGCCTGAACTGCAGAGCGAGACCCTGTCTCAAAAAGACAAAAAAAAAAAAAAGAAAAAAAAGATGGATCTTAAAGTCATTGATGTTTGTGGTAGCGATGCTTGATATGTGGTGGTGGTCTTTTAGAATAGCCTTGTTTCTCTGTGGCTCTTGCTCTGTGTTGGAATGTGAGACTGGTTGAATATATTCTACAAGCCGGGCGTGGTGGCGCATGCCTGTAATCCCAGTTGTTCGAGATGCTTAAAGCAGTAGGATCACAAGTTCAAAGCCAGCCTGGACAGCTTAGAAAATCCTGTTTCAAAATACAATTTTAAGGGCCAGGGGCTGGGGATTTAGCTCAGTGGCAAAAGCGCCTGCCTGGCAAGTGCAAGGTTGTGAGTTCGGTTCCCGGTACCGGAGAAAAACAAAAAAAAAAAAAAAAAAAAAAAAAGGGCCAAGGACGTAGCTAAGCAGCATAAGCACCTGCATGGCAAGCGCAGGGTCCTGAGTTTGATTCCAAGTACCAAAAAGAAAAATTTATTTTGTTACATTTTTATTAGTATGTCTTTGTAATACATAATGATTATATTCATCATGGCAAAAATACAGTTTTAAAAAGGGGTGGGATATGCCTCTGGTGGTAAACTTGCTTAGCATGCACAGATCCTAGGTTCTGTCCTTGATACTACAAAAAAAGAAGAAAAAAAAAAAAACGTGTGTTATTCAGCTCATCCTCTCCCATAGGATATAGCATTTATTTGTTTCTGGTTGATTTTCAGTTGCTTTCTGATACTGTGGCTTTGGGGGAAGGTTGTTTTTTGGGGGGGTGTTTTGTTGGGTTTTGTTTCATTTTGTTTGGTGCTAGGAGTCACACTCAGGACCTTGCACTTGCCAGGCAGGCACTTGTGCCACTGAGCTAGATCCCCAGCCCCTGGTTTTTTGTTTTGAGACAGTCTTGCTGTGTAGCCCAGCATCGCCCTGAATTCATGGCAGTCCTCCTGCCTCAGCCTTCCCAGTCTTCCAAGTGCTGGGATCACAGGTGTGCACCACCACTCCTGGGTCCAGCTAATTTTTTAAACTTTGATATAATAGGTAATTTATAAGCAGATAGCAAATATTCTTTGATACCATCATATAGTGCAGATGTCATCAGATTTCACAGACCACAGGCACTTTTATGTATGAGTGTGTGTCTAGGTGTGTGGTACTGGAGACTGAACCTAAGCTTTCACCCTGAGCTACATCCACAGCCCTTTTTTATTTTGTTTTGTTTTGAGAGAGCATCTCACCAAGTCACTAACTTGCCAAGGCTAGGCTAGAAGTTGTGGTTTTTGAGATAGTTTTGTCAGGTCACTGTATAGCCCAGGCTGGTCTCTAAATTCCCCAGATTGGGTCCTAACTTGTGATCCTCCTGCCTCAGCCTCCCAGAGTGCTGAGAATACAGATGTGTGCTACCGCATACCACATACAGCTAGGTTCATTTTAGCAGTGGTTCCCTCTCTGCTACACATCCTTGGAGCTTGTAAGTAGAGGCAGGAAGTATATAAGTGTAGAATTATATATTTGTGACAGACCTGAAAATAAATAATCCCTTCTTTGCCTTTTTAAAAAGTGATTTAGGGGCTGGGGATTTAGCTCAGTGGCACAGCGCCTGCCTGGCCAGCATGGATCGTGAGTTTGATTCCCAGTACTGGGGGGGGGGGAGGAGAAAGTGATTTAAATCTGAGTGAACCTGTGTGCAAAACAGAGGAAGGAAGTAAATTACTTCCACAACAGATGAACTGAAATAGAGCATTTATCTCCATTTCCTTTGTTTTCTAGGAGCAGGCTGCTCTTTGAGGGTACGCAGTATGCCAGCAAGAAGGTTTTTAATGCATTTGGCATTAACTACAAACTTCATTAGATTCCTCTGGGCTTGAGTGCACCACCTTGAACTGTGACATTTTCAGGACCACTGGCGCTGATTCCATGAAAATACATAGCAAGCTCTGTACACAGACTTGCTTAACTGAATGTCACTCTTCTTTACAAAGCCATGGGAGAATAGGAGATTATTTTCTTAAAATCCTGCTATTTTAATAAAACCAGGTTTCAGGGACCAAGCTTTGACTTCACTTTGGTTTTTTTAACAGAATATTAGAAGTCGCAAGATGTTCTCAACTAACAGATGTGGGTTTTACCACCTTGGCCAGGGTAAGTATTTTCACCAGGTTGCATAGGCTTGTTGCTGGAGGTTTTGTTTGGGACTTTTACTTCAGAAGAATGAGCAGCAAGTAAATTGTAGCATGGCCACAGAATTGAGGGTGTGAGGCAGGAGAGCTCCGAGGCTGTAAAGACAGACCTGCTGATGCCAGTAGCCAAACTGCCATCTAGGCACGGTGTTGCATGCCTTAGTCCAAGCACACTGGGAGGCTGAAGCAAGAGGATTGCAAGTTCAAGTGTAGTCTGCACAGTTTAGAAAGATGGTTTTTGTTGCTATTTCTTGTTTGTTTGTTGTCTTTTTGATATGTTCTCGCTATGCAGTTCAGGTTGACCTTGAGCTCACTGTATAGCCCAGGCTGGTCTCAATCTCCTAATGATCCTCCTGCCTCAACCTCCCAAGTGTTTATATTTTTTGAAACAGGGTCTCACTATGTAATTCAGGCTGCCTTCCTACCTCTGCCTCCCGAGGCATGTGCACCCATTCCCGGGTCCTGTCTAAATTTTTAAAAAGGGCTGGAAATGTAAAGAATACAAACTATTCTGGAAATGCAGGCATGCATGGGAAAACCAGATACTGTGAAGCTTGAGTTCTCTGTGGTTTCATAAGATGATAAACACAAACCTCCTGGTGCTTTGTGAAGGAAACCTGTTATTTATTATGTTACTAATCAGTGTGAGTAATGTTTAATGTTAAAAGAAATACAAGCTTGAGCTGAGCACAGCAGTGCCTACCTGTAATCTCACCTGTGGGGGAGGGAGGCTGAGGCAAGAGGATTGCCAGATTTCAGGCCTCTTAGACACCTGTGTCAAAATCACATCCTGAAAAGGGGCTGAGGGTATAGCTCGGTAGAAGAGTGCTTGCCTAGCATGCACAAGACCTGGGTTCAGTCCCCAGTACTGCAAAACAAAGGAAAAAGGGGAGGAAGGAAGAAAGGAAAGGTAACGGTGGTTAGAATCAAGCTGCCTTTGACCAGTGTTACGGAACAGAGGGAGGTCACTCACTTTCTGGCAGACAAATGGAGCACTAATTGCTGAAGGTCTGGACACCCAACTAAAGGAGGACATAATTGTTTCCTGTCTTCCAAAGAAACAGTTTTCAGCGAGGCATGGTGGAGCATGCCTGTAATCCTAGCACTCGGAGGCTGAGGCAGGAGGATTGCTGAAAGGAAGGGCAGCCTGGGCTACATAGCAAGAACTTATCAAAAGAAAGAAAGTCGGGGGAGTTTTCATTAAATTACTGTGGTTGAAAGAATCATTGTATCATTAGCCCACCATTACAGCAAATTTATTCCCTCGCACTTACAAGATGTTAGGTATGTATATGTGGAATAATTGAGAAATGTCACTTTGATCAAAGCCTTTTAAATGTCTGTATGGTGCTGTTTGGTTTGTATTTTGTAGAATTGCCATGAGCTTGAGAAGATGGACCTGGAAGAATGTGTTCAGGTAGGAACGCAGGATTTTATTCACAAGTACACTGCGATGGGAACCTCCACAATCCATGCACATGAGAATGGTCAGGTCCCTCCCTGGTGCGGCACACTGACATACCTGGCAGTGCCCCTGCCTGTCCACTTCTTGAGATGTCTTCAGTCACTCCAGGTGAGGTGGCTATGGCATGTGTGTTAAAGAACCATAAAAGCACATGCTATGGTCATACTGGCATTAGAAAGGACACCCAAGTGTCCAGGCCATAAAGCCATTAAAGTATTTCCTTATGCTGAGTATGCTGATCTGTACCATAGTCCCAGCTATCAGGAGGCTGAGGCAGGAGAATCACTGGAGCCTTAGCCATTTAAGGCCAACGTAAGCAACACAGCAAGTCCACATGTCTTTTTCTTTTATTTTGCTTTCGTTAGACTACAGAGTTATGATTCTAGTAAATACTTACAGCATTAGTATACTGCTGGGTAGCACTGCCTTCTTTTAGCTTAACTGGATCCTGGATCCCTTCGTTAACCTTGGAGACTTTGCACTCTGTGGAATTCTGCCCTGGTGGCACCTATCAACAATTTCTTTTGTAGCCAATTTTAAGACTTTTCAGATAGGTGTGTGTATCTTTAATCCCTGCACTCAAGGCTGAGGCAAGAGGATCACAAATTCAAGTCGAGCTTGGGCAACTTAGTATATTGAGACTATGTCTCAAAAAAAAACTTTGTTTTTGAGACCTTAAGGATCCATTATTTCATTGTATCTAAACTTGAAGTATAGTCAAGAAGGAAGTATAAAACTGAGTGTGGTGGTGCATGCCTGTAATCCCAGTACTCAGGAGGCTGAGGCAAGAGGGTTGCCATGAGTTTGAGATCAGCCTGGGCTACATCGTGAGTTCAAGACTAGCCTGGACTACATAGCAAGACCCTGCCTCAAAAAAATTTTTAAAAAAAAGGAGGAAATATAGCCTGTGATTGTTTGGAATTATACTTAATATATATGTTTCTTTCAGATAACTGATAGCACATTAATCCAACTTTCCATACACTGTCCTCGACTTCAAGTATTGGTGAGTTTGACTCTCAAGGTTTATTTATGTATTTCTTGGATTGAATCAAAACAGTGCCATGGTTCGTTTTAAGTAAGAAACAGCTTTTACTTTCCTTTCTGTGTCGGGCGCCATTTTGGTGAAGTATGCTTCACCGAGTTGCCAGCCTCCATAGGACCAGGGAAGGCTTCACTGAGGTGGGGAGTAAGACGGATGGAGAGGGGAGCCCCGGCAGTGTTGATGTGTAGAGCCCGAGAACTGACAGGAGAGAAGGGTCTCCCCCCAGGAAGCCCAGGAAGCCCTGTCCAAGCTGAGCGGCATTTTGACACTTCCATTTCCAGAGATCCAGAGGATGAGGTGGCCCAGAATACCATTCATTTCACTGTGGACCTTGTGTTCTTACAAAACAGAGACAGTCCAATCCTCATTGAGCAGCTCCTTCATACTGTTTTACTTAGTGATTCTTCAGGAAGGCATTTTGCTGGATGTGATAGAGCATATCTTTAATCCCACCTCTCAGGAGGCTGAGGCAGGAGGATTGCAGGTTTCAGCACAACCTGGGTCATTTAGTGATTTAGTAAGACCCTGTCGCAGAATAAAAAATAAAAAGGGGCTGCTGTCGCAGAATAAAAAATAAAAAGGGGCTCAGTATGAAGGCCCTAAGTTTAATCCCCAGTACTGGGGAAAAAAAAAAAAAGACAACCAGGAAGACATCTTGGTTCACTGTTGTGTGTCCAGGCTCATTTTGGAGTGTTTAGTTAGCCCTGTACTCTCCTAAATTGGGTTCAGAGTTTTCCAGAAATTAGAGGAGAATTGATGAGATGATGTCATAAATGATCACAACTGATCTGCAGCTGATTCACTGTTGGGTCAGGCCCTACACCAGATAGTCAATATTTAGTTGAGATTCCAGAGAACTTTGTGCATAAAAAGCTTGATTCCTATTCATCCCTATTAAGAAGAAAAGTGTTAATTTGGGGAGGACTAACTTTTAGAGGTATCTTGCTTTGTTTATGAGGTTTGCAGTCATTACATGAATTTATAAACTACATTTAGAATAGCACAAAGGTCGATCATGAATTGCTACAAGCAGACCCCAGCACCTCTAAGGTGCATCCTTAGTTCCACCATGCATGGATTTGGGGATGGCTCCTTGTTTGTCAGAGTCACCCCCAGAAAGTGCTCCTCCCTGACGGTGCACACTGCCCTTCTTTGCCCTGGCTGCAGAGTCTGTCCCACTGTGAGCTCATCACAGATGATGGCATCCGTCACCTGGGGAACGGGGCCTGTGCGCACGACCAGCTGGAGGTGATCGAGCTGGACAACTGCCCCCTCATCACTGACGCGTCCCTGGAGCACCTGAAGAGCTGCCACAGCCTGGAGCGGATCGAGCTGTACGACTGCCAGCAGATCACTCGCGCGGGGATCAAGAGACTCAGGGTGAGACTGCTGCAGCACTCTCCACACTTACCCTGTCTTGTCCTGTCCTTTTTCATATTTAGCTTCTTGTGGGTTTTGTAGTTACTTGGACCTCTAGCAAGGAGCAAGAAAATGGGCAACAAATGTAAAGAGAGATAGTTTTTACCTGTGGTCCTGGGTGGAAATTTGGTAGGAAAATACCCACTAAAGGGAAGAGAAGTAGGTCTCCTTCCTGCAGAGATTGTGGAATCATGTCCAGCCTTAATCACATCCTTATTGAAAAAAGAAGGAAAGAAACACGTGCCAGATTTTGATTGTCCAGGAAAGAAGGGAATAATATAAAGAAAACGGTGAAATGGGGTTTATGAATTCAACTTGTGTTTCCTCTTCACATCAAACCCTTTTCCCAGGGTTCTTATTTTTTAAGAATAAATCAGGTAGATTTTTACCTTTTCCTTTGTCCCCATCCTCCTTGGTAGAAGCCTGTGTAGAGCTAAAGGACTGAGATTCAGGTTGCCAGCAAAGAAGTCGTACAAAGCTAGATGAATCTGTGGACATTTATTGAACGTCTACATCTGTGGGGCTGAGGCACTCTGGTCACTTAAGACCTTACCGTGGCCTATAAAAATCCATTTGAGCACGTGTTTTTTTGTCTTTTTCAACCACATGTTCTGAACCAATAAAGGAGTACCAGAGCTCCTCTTGGGTTCCATTACCTCCAGTCCCTCCTTCTTCAGTGGAGTGGACCAAGAGCTGACTGCAGGGAGGAAAGCCATAGGCTAGCCCAACCCTCTTACATGGCCCGCTGACCCTGCCTGGCCCCAGAGATCTCTTCCATCCCAGAGTCCTCAGGAGATGGTCACTTCTCCATGTCCAGGCTATATGCTCCCTAAGAACAGGATCCCCTTGTTGACTATCTTTGTATGTAGTGTGATGCCTTGATCATAGTAGGCATTCAGAAATAGTAGGAAAAGCTAGAAGCATGTTTAAAAAGGATAGTGAGGGTTATTTTGTTTTTAATATAAGAAAAAGCTGGGTATGGTGGAGCATGCCTGTAATCCCAGCACTTGGGAGGCTGAAGCAGGAGGATTACTGTGAGCTCAAGGCCAGCGTGAGTTACAAAATGAATTCAGTCCATGCTGAACTGCATAGTGAAACCCTGTCTCAGAAAGAAAAAGAAAAGCTGGGCATTGTGGCACATGCCTGTAATCTCAGCACTCAGGAGACTGAGGCAAGAGGATCACTGAGCTTGGAGTCAGCCTGGGCTACATAGTGAGACCCTGTCTCAGAAAAATAACAGAAGGGAAGGAAAGAGGGAGGCAGGCAGAGGGAGAGAGGGACTTTGTCCACAGTGATATGGAAAAATAATTATTTTAAGCTTGCATAATCTCTTCCAACTGGAAATCTCTTTGGAACAAAACAAGAAATTAATGCCATGTTGCTGAACATAGTGTCACATTCAAGGAAGCTGAGGCAGAAAGACCACAAGTTTGAGCTCAACCTGGGCAAATTATTGAGACCCTGTCTCAAAATGAAAAAAAATATAGAGTTGGGGATGTAGCTTAGTACAAAGACCCTTGGTTGCCTCTCCCAATACTGCTAAAGAAAATGAATATGATGTTTTCCCCAGTTTTATTACTATAAGAATAGGTACCAGAGTTCTGTGAGTTTGTGATTAGTACAGCATAGGATGGAACAAAGTGGAACCCAAACCTCTTAAACACCGTGACTGGGCCTCACCCTTATCCCTGCTTTGATGTTGTCGGAACCCCTCAGTGTTAGGTTTTTTTGTTCATTTGTTTTGTTTTTGTTTTTTTGTCTTTTGGGGACAGGGTCTCACTATGTAGTTCAGGCTAGCCTTGAGCTCACTTTATAGCACAGGCTGGCCTCCAGCCCACAGTGATCCTCCTGCCTCAGCCTCCCAAGTGCTGGGATTACAGGTGTGTGCCACCACACCCATCTCCTCAGTGGCTTTTCTGGGAAGCAGCTTGCCTATGTTTGAGCCCTGTCTTTCTCTAATGTTTCTGTCTTGTTTCAGACCCACTTACCCAACATTAAAGTCCACGCCTACTTCGCACCTGTCACTCCACCCCCGTCAGTCGGGGGCAGCAGACAGCGCTTCTGCAGATGCTGCATCATCCTATGACACTGGAGGGCGCAGCCTCGGTGAACTGAGTACTTAAGAACACTCTAGAGTTACCTGGTGTCTCCAGCAGAAGTGACCCCAGTGTTCTGGGCGAGGGTTACAGAGTGAGACAGTGACCAGGTCCCCAGAGCCACACGTACGTATGCATCCACAACCTACCCCACCCACTCGAGCTCTGTGGCCATGGGACTGAAGCTCGTGCTGGCTTTACCAAGTGGATTGGTAAAACTTAACTGTTCCTTTCAGACACACCCAGAACAGCACAGGCCAACACAGAGGGAGGGCACTCCAGCAGACCCAGTGTTACTGCTGTGATGGTTTCTTTATTTTGTTAAGGGGTTTCTTTGGGGATTTTGGAACAGTAACTGCAGTCATCCAGGGTCAAGGAAAGCATGGAAAAACGATACATGATGTATCCAGGGACCAGAAAGAAATTTCTTTGCATCCTAGACATGGTAGCCATCACTCTGAAATGACTACATAGCTTCTGTGCTTCCTGTTTCCATGCCAACATGCTCAGCATGCTCGCAAAGAAGGCTGCTCATTCCTCCTGTGTTTTAGTACCTAGCCCAGGGGTCTCTGAAATACCACATTGAAACTGCTGCGGTCCAGATGCGGTTACTCACTGAGATTGCACTGTCTGTGTCACATCGCGCACCTGTCTTCCACTCTTCGTGGCTCCCCCTGCACTCTTGCTCAGTGTGTCACCTGGTCACAGTCTGCTCCTCACACTCGGTTGTTACTCTTGGGCTATTGTGTTTACAGTTTGCATTTTGGATGATTAGTTGAGGTTATCAAACATTTTTAAAAGACATTATCAATAAATATTTTTTTAATTTGAAATTCTACCATTAGGGGACCCTGCTTGAATCTTTGCCAATCTGAAAGGAAAAATAAGAAAGGTAATGAGAAGAAATTGAGCTAAAATTATTTTGATGAAAACGAACTTTGCCTCTTGGTTTCTGATGTAGTGATACGTGGTCGCTCGCATGAGGTACCCAGCACCCCCTGCACACTTCCTGCAGACTGCGCTAACTTAGGGAAAGAGAAGTGAGGACTGTGTCATTAGTAAAGTGGATAGCAACTCCATCTCAGCGTGGAGGTCCCTGCTGCGCAAACCCAGACGTTTATAATCTCATTGCTCATGTTCCCTGCAGTCTGGGCGTGCTCACTGGCATCTCTGCCCTGATGGTTGTAGCTGCAGTACTGCCAGTGGAGTTGTGCTCCCCAGCACCCCACCATTCAGCCTCCATTTTAGCCCATCAGGAATACAGGCATGGCCAGCCCAGTAAAATCTGGCCAACTTTGTGTCAGTGTTAACGGTTTCATAGGCAATGTTGGTACCTCCAAGGGCCCAGGACACCTCAGTCGTCTCTGTCTTTTGCCCCAGACTTTCTTTAGTACAATTGTGAAAGTGGCCATGGGAAGGGATGGGGACATCTGGAATAGAACCTTGAGAGGGATTAGCAGGTTCAGTGTCTGTACCCAGCTTGGGCTGGCATCAGGGCTGAGGAAAAAGGGGGTTCAGCACTGATGAGTCGGAGTCCAAAAAGCTGTCCCTAACCAGGTACAGTGGCGCATAGCTGTAACCAAGCTGCTCAGGGCTGAGGCGGGAGGAACACGTTGAAGGTTAGGCTGGGCAACTCGGCGAGACCCTCTCTCAAAATAAAATGAAGAAAGGAATCTGGGGAGGTAGTTTCAATGGTAGAGCACCTGTTTAGCATGCCTAAGGTCCTGTGTTGAGTCTGGTGCTGGGTACCAAAGGAAAAATACCAGAAAATCCTTACCTCAGAAATATCGTAGAGGCCAGGCATGGCAGCACATGCTTATAATCCCAGCATCTGTAAGCCAGAGGCAGGAGGCTCATGAGGTAAAGCCCAGCCTGAGCAAATTAGCAGTTTAGCAAAACTTTGTCTCAAAAAAATTTTTAAGCTGGGTTTGGTGGCACACGCCTGTAATCCCAGCACTTGGGAGGCTGAGGCAGGAGGATCACTGTGAGTTCAAGGCCAGCCTGAACTGGATAGGGAGACCGTGTCTCAAAAAAACAAAAAAAGGGGATGGGCAGTCCAGTGGGGTGGGGATGTGGCTCAGTTCAGTCACAGGATGAAGGAGATAAAATGAGGGCATTTCTAAAGCCTGATATTTTTTAATAGTGTGATTGATTGGGGTAGTTTTTAGAACATTAGTGTATAGTCTACCATGCATCTCCTGCATGTCCAGATTGTGAAAGGGCTGATTTTATTGCTGCAAGTCCTGGTTCTACTGGCGTGTGCAAGAATAAAGTCCTATGTGTTTCTCTATCGGTACAGGATGCAATGACATGAAAATATCCTCTATTACTATCATTTTTAGCATATTGTTTATTTTAAATTATATTTCATTATGTCCCTTTAAAAAGCTCAAATTATTTGTCTTTTTTTTCTTTTCAGATTACCTTGTAAAGAGTATTTTTGTTTGTTTTCTGAAACAGGGTCTCACTGTGTGGCTCAGGCTGGTCTTGAACCCACAGTCTTCCTGCCTTAGAAAGTATTAGCATAGGCATGTGCCACCACACCTGGCGCTTTAAAAAACAAAAACAAAAACAGGATCTTGCTGTGGTCCACAAGCTGGTCTTGAACTCATGGCCTCAAGCAATCCTCCTGTCTCATTCTCCCAAATGCCTGGGACTTCAGGCTCACACTACTCACAGCAGGAATATACTTTTTATGTAAGACTTGCTTTTCTGGCTACATGTAAAAATACAGATATGGACACACTCACACACACACACACACACACACACTTCCAGGTGTGCTTCATAATATTTAGAGGGCTGGGACACTTACTCAAAACTAAAAGAAATATTTAGGGGCCTTCTCTAAAATGTGGGCTTTGTTGTGTCTTTGTTGTTCCTGAACAAATTGATAATGAAACCTGTATTGGTGAATGTGTATTTGAACTGCTTGATTTAAAAAGTTTCCGAGACCCTCTTTTCCACCAGTACATTAAAAGTCTTAAAAATGCCACCTCTCTACCTAAAGGGCATTGCCACATGCAGATCCTTGGGCTGCCCTGGTGCCCCCCCACCGGCCGCTGAGACAGAGGCCAACATGTCTAGCCAGGAACAGAATTGTAGTAGAGGACAAAGGCGTAGAGTGTGCACTGCTGGCTCATTTATGCTTAGGCCAGAGCCTGTTCCTTTCTCAAGAACTTCATTCATTTATTAAAATGAAGCTCAAGGCCAGGCGTGGTGGCACACGCCTGTAATCCCAGCACTCGGGAGGCTGAGGCAGTTTGAGACCAGCTTGGGCTACAAAGTGAGCTCAAGGCCAACCTGAACTGACTGCATAGCGAGACCCTGTCTCAAAAAGACAAAAATAAAAAATAAAATAAAATAAAATAAAATGAAACTCAGTGTATTGGCACAGAAAGAAACTTTAGACATGTCGAGCTTGGAAGAAAATACATTTCTTGTGCTGATTGACTACATGGTAAGTTTGGTTCAGGAAGAAAGCGTCCTGACTCCTGAACTGTACTTCCTGTCCGTACCTGGAGTACTCAGAATCTGGAACTTAGTAAGGCCTGATGTAGGAAAATTTACTAGTTTATTTTATTTCATAGCCACTCCAGAATATGCCTTGTATAGTTAAAAAAAAAAAAAATACATAGCATGAACAGAGAAGAGAGAGACTTAGAATGAAAGGAAAGTTCCCTCACAGTTCCTGCTGTAAACTTCAGGCAGTCAGGAGGGATCACTGTGGTCTCTGGGGAAATTTCTTGACCATCACATCACCTTGTCTCTGAGCACCTTTCCCCAGTCTCACCCATTGTGTTTTCCAGCAATGTCATCAGCTCTCATTGTCATCAGCTCTGCTGAGGTGATTCCAGCATTTTTACCTTTGCATTCTTCTGCCCTGGTCTCGCCATTTCCTCCCCACTCCCGTCCTTGCCCCACCCCCTCAGGAAGCCTCCTGTCACCCCAGTAATGCTGCTGCTTGGGGTCCTTGTCCTAAGCAGTGCTGTGGATGGCCTTGAATTAACTGTCGAGTGGCTCTGGTCATTTTTCACTGGGTTGTCTTAGATGCTTGCTTGCTGGATTTGAATTGAGGTTTAAAATCGAACAGTTTGATATGAATAAGATCTGACTTTTAGCCTTTTTTCCAGTATTTGGAGTGTGAAAACACGTTGTGCTTTGTGTTAAGAATGTTTTCTCCTCCTATTCTGCTCTTACCTTTACTGGGTGTAGAAGTATTCCTTTAATGGTTTTTTGCAAATTTCCAGGCTGATTTCCTCATCCATTAAGTTGATTAGCAGATATAAAGTTGGATATTTTACATATCCCTTATATCAAACATTCTAGAGGGAAATCTGGTAAATAATTTTATGATGTTTTCCTTTTGGGCTTCCCAGACTGTTTGAATTGTTTGATATAGCCATGATGCTCCAGTAGCCAGTGTTTCCATTCATCTAATTGCCTTACAAAGTGCATTTTATTGGTGTGATAGCCCACTGATGGCGTGGAGAACTAAACAGCATGGGATGGAACCTGTCTTGGCTTAAAGTCGTGAGGACACATGAGAAAGGCTGGCTCGTGCTTGCCTGTGAGCAGCATGTCTTTAGGTGACGGTGTCAGGAGAACTTGGTCGGCCCTTGGCTACTTCATGTGCCTGGGCCCATAGCAGCTGCCACCAGTGGGAAGGTTTGAAGGAGAGCACTGCCTTCTCCCTTAACCCCTCCTTGCTTGTGTGCCTGGTTCGGGGGTAGCTTTCTGTCGCTGTGCTGCCTCCTGGCTGACAGAGCCTCACTGAGCTCTGGAAGTCTTAAGCTAGAACCTGTACACCCCTTACAATGATCTTGGGCCAAAGAAATCTAAAGCAGTAAGAGGATGTAAGGTTGGAGATTACAGAAAGGTGTATGGGACCTTGTCGAGAGGGTATAATTACCCAGGTAATTTGAGATTAAGGTTGTCATGACCGTATCCAGATGTCCTAACTTAAATCTTTATTCGCCGGCAAAGAACACGAGCCACTGTAGTACCTGCTGCTTGAACCTTGCCTTTTTACTTGAGACAGACTTTCTACCTGCCAGAAACTGCCATGTGAGGTGAGGTTTTTGCGTGAAAGACATCTGCCCCTTCCCACTCAAGCCAGTTCTACCTGTTCCATGTGCTTTTATTCTGAGGAACATCAGTTAGCACCTCTGAAGCCTTTGATCCTTAGGGAAGTCAGTATGTGAGCTCTGGCCAAGTCTGACTGTATCTTGGGAGCCCAAGAGAGTTACACTTTGAAGAAGCTTAGAAACTGTTGGGCTGTGCCCCATGGCAGTATGGTGTTCAGGAACGTCCATTGCACTGCTTTCCCTGCCTCAGGTGGGGTCCAGGCGGCCCTCGTGGAGCTCCTTGGCAGATGCTGAATCTCATTGCTTCCTCAGCCACAGTAGCTCATTACCCTAGGAAGGAGAACCGTGAGCAAGCAGAGCTGTTTCTGTGGCCCTTCGATTTTGTTTTCCCTATTTCTTTTGACAAATTGTTCTGGGGGAAGTGACAGGTGTGCTTCAGAGGGAAGCAGGGAAGTGGAGAAGGGTTCTAGAACGGGGCCCTTCCACAGGAGCAGCATCTGTTCTCGGCAGTGATGACGTCTACTTTGTCTGATGGACACCACACCCTCTTCCTGCCAGGCGGAGTTCCTTACGTCCCCTCACCAGGAGTCACCCAGGTAGAGACCAGCACCACCGAAAGAGTCACCATCTGCCTGAGAGGCTCGGAAGGAGACTTTATGGAAGAGGTGGGCCGGGAAAGTGCCCAAGCTGCACTTCCTCCTGCTGTGCCCCAAGGCCAGGGAGGTCGAGGTGATGTCTTTTTTATTGTGACCTTAGGAGAAAGCTTTCCCCTTCTCACTGCTCACCCTGTCTGCACCACACTGCTGCTCATACGGATGTGTTTCTCCGCCTAGCCCTCCCCAGGCCTTGAAGTTGATAGTAACTTTTTTTCTTTTATTGGCACTAGAGAATGAGACCCTGACGTCTTAGAAAATCCTAACTTGAGAGTTTCTAACTGGTATGGTTTGATTAATTAATTTAACCCTTCCCCAGACAAATGATTTTCTTTTCTAGTGCTAAGAATAGATCTTCACTGAGTGAAACCTTTGCTGCTACTTTCCTGGGTTTACATGAGGTTTTCCCTTCAGAATGCTTCTTATCTGTACTTCTCTGATGACTGTTAATCTCTCATAAGTACAGGAAGGGGTGTGCCTGTGATTTCTCTTTTTCCCTTCACCCCCACTTCACACACTAACACCACTGTGGGTGGGCGCACTGCAGGTCTGGGCAGGGTGCCGACTGGGGATCTGCCCTGCCCCGCTCCCACTCCGGGGTTGCCGTCAGGAGAGGCTGCTCACCGCACCCCACACACACTGGCCGCCACCCTTCTCCCAAACTGGCCCACCGGCTGTGCCCGTCTTCAGTGACCCTGAGGGCACAGACCCAACTGATGTGGCCTGTGCAGAGCTCAAAGAGCTCTGAGGACTCCCTGCCTGTCACAGTCTGCCTGGGGACAGGGGCAGATGGGCACCCGGTGCTGCTGGAGAATTCTTACTTCAAGCCAGGCTGTTCCCTCCCTGCACGCGTCCTTCCTGGGGGTCGCATGCAGAGGGTGGCTGGGAGCAGTCCCGTCCAGCCCTCTCCAGCCCTCAGACACTCTTCGGAGCGCATCCTGTAGGGCCACTGCTTGCTTGTTGCTGCCCAGGGCCAGGCCGACCCCACATGGTGGCTTCACCCCAGGTCCAGTGAGCTGCCCCGGTGACTGTGTCCACCACTTTTGGCATCTAAGGATGGGAGGGGGGTATTTAAAATAAAATCCAAGGTGGCAGTAGAGGATTTCTTTTGCTTTAAAATCTTTGGACTAAAAAAAATGTTTTTTATATAAAAATATATAAAGTAAATTGTTATGTAACTATTGTTTCCTGTATGTTCTAATTTTGTTTTATGACGTAATTAAAGGAAATAAGCTGTGAAGACTTCTCATTCTCCTGTGGAAATAGCATGACTTGGAGCTGTGGCTCTTTTAAACTCCTTGACCTTGGAGCAACACAGGCTCCTTAGGCTGAGTGAAGCTGCCTTTTCCTTCTCTCATTTGTTCATTTCATAACCTCTGACGCTTTTGCTGGCCATTATTTACTACGCTGAATTGTCCTTGCTGTAGAGAAACATGTATCTGAGATCAGAGTTGACCTTAGTGATTGGATGGTTAGAATTAACCAGAGTCCCTCGTCTCCGTGTGGAACATTGGTTGCTCTTGCCTGGCCTGGGCCAAGTGGAGATGGATGGTGTGAGGGTGAACACGCCCGAGTCGGATCAGCTGACTCCACACTCTGCTGCTCCCCACCCACCTGTGTACCCTCGGCTCCCATGGGCGGCCTTCTGTGGAGGGGTGTGGAGAGTGAGGGACCTCCAGCCAGAGCTAACATAGATGCGGCAGCGGCTATCCCCTGCTTCCTTCCAGCAGTTACCCCAGTGGCTAGTCTGTGCAGAGGCCTCTAAGGCTGAGACCACTGAAGAGCCAGATCGAAATCTGTTACCTACACCGACAGGAAAATCCTTGAGGAAACCGAGTGTGGGGTGCTCACCTGTAATCCCAGCACTCTGGGAGGCGGAGGCAAGAGGATCACAAGTTCAAGCCCAGCCTCAGCTGCTGAATAAGACCCTGTGTCTAAAAAATACAAAAAAAGGAAAGGCTGGAGATGTAGCTCAGTGTAAAGGCCTTGGGTTCAATCCCTAGTAATGGGGGACGGGTGGGCTTATGGAGTCATAAGCCCCGTTTGACATCTACTCTTTGTCCTGCCAGAGTTACAGATAAGGGCTGGGTTTGTCACCTGGGGCCAACACCATCCCCTCGAATGCAGGCAGGGGTCTGGACTCCTCAGCTGTCTGTATTAATTAGAGTTGGCCCTGTTTGTTGAGGGAAGCACTTTCTCAGTCTTTGAGCACATTTTAGAGCTTGCTCCTCCTCGGCTGGAGTCGGCCTGGTTTAAAGCTCATCAGAGGTGATCACTCATGTCTGAGGTAAGGAAACATTAAGACTAATCACGCTGGTGTTTTGGAGAGGGTGTCTTAGTCTATTGCTTGGTGCATACTAGGTTTTCACTTCCCTGAATATTTGAGGATATTCACTTTAGAATTTTGTGAGAATGAGATGGACAAAAAGAATATGACGTGGTCTTACACTATTTAAGAAATCCCTTATTGTTTAAAATTGGCTTACTACATGGAAATAAGTGCTAGGTCAATACTTGACAAAGTACCCAAAAACCAGCTAGGCATGGTGGGACATACCAGTAATCCCACCACCAAGAAGGCTGAGGTGGAAAGATTGCAAGTTCATGCCTTGCCTGGGCAATTTGGCAAGACCCTGTCTCAAAAAATTCAGAAAGGTCTTAGGACCAGCTCCCTGCGAAAGGCCTGGGTTCAATGCAAACTTAGCAAATAAAGGAAAAAAATCAGGTGGATTACAAACCTAAGAGAAAAAGCTAAAAAAAAAATTTGTTCTGTGTTTTTTTTAAATAGGGTCACAGTATGTAGTTCAGGCTAGCCTGAAACTCACTATGTAGCCCAGGCTGGCTTCAAACTCTGCAATCCTTGGAGCTAGGCTTGGTGGCACATGCCTGTAACCCTAGCGCTCGGGAGGCTGAGGCAAGAGGATCGCACCACGCCTGGCAGAAAACTAAAATTTAAACTTCTAAAAGCGTTTGGGATTTTTGGTTTACTTTTGAGACAGGGTTTCACTATGCAGTTCAGGGTGGCCTTGAGCTCACTTTGTAACCCAGGCTCATCTCAGACTCATGCCTCTCCTGCCTCAGCCTCCCAAATGCTGTGCTGGGATGACTGACATGTGACACCACACCTGGCTTGTTTTTGAGACAAGATCTCACTGTATAGGCCAGCTCATCAGCAATTATCCTGCCTCAGCTTCCTAACTGCTGGGATGCTAGATTTGCACCATGACATCTGGCAGAAAGCTAAAATTGAAACTTAAAAATGTAGGGGCCAGGGATATAGCTTAGCGGCATAAACACCTACCTGGCAAGTGCAAGGTCCTGAGTTCCAGTACAGATTTTGTATATATATATGAGGTCAGGCATGGTGACACATGCCTATCATCCCAGCACTCAGGAGGCTGAAGCAGAAGGATCTCCATGAGTTTGAGGCCAGCCTGGGCTATACTTTGGGACCCTGTCTCAAAAACAGAAACGACTAGGGATAAAGCTCAATGGTAGAGTGCTTGCCTGGTATGCACTAGGCCCTGGATTCCATCCCTGCTATAAAATAATACGCATAGGAAATCAGATTGATAATTTGATTTTTTGTTGTTGTTTGTACTACTAGAGGTTGAACCTAGGGCCTTCACATTGAACTACACCCCCAACCCTTTTTTTTTTTTTAAGAGTAGAAGAATAACAGTGATAGGGCGGCTTACCGAATTACAGAGAAAATGGTAGGAAATTATCAGTGCTTGTTGTTTTACATATTATCTACAAGATAGTTTCTCAGGAAAACAAATAGACAAATAATAGTGAGTTACAGACAGAAGTGGTAGGTTATTATCAGTGGTTGTTGTACTACACTTTGGTATCTTCAAAGTGGTTTCTAAAGAAAATAAATAGAGCTATACATGAGTGACCAATTGAATATTCATTAACTATTCTCAATGGTTGTAGGAAA